CCAAGGAGAGGCCAAGTTAAGATCAGAATCTTCAAGAGTGTCCTCAAATCAGTTTCTTCACTAGCATCGATGGCCAAGGCAATGCCCAGGAAGAGGGAAGAAAGTGGTCCAGACCTCAGCTCAAACTCTACTCCGGCTGCTCCAACCCCAACTGGCTACAATTCAGATTGATCATTAAATTGAATTGTTGATAATAACTCCCATATCTTTTGTACAGGGTCTAATTCTAATTACAGGTGGCCTTATAATTTTGCCTTCTTTTCCCTTTTGCTTTTTGTTCTTTCTTATGCAAGATATTGTAGATTCGATATACAGACCCTGTATCATTTTTGATATATGTAGCATACTAGATAACCAATTTTGTCCAATAACATTTATGTATATATTCTTATACGAACTTCCTCTTCTTTAATTTCCTTTTTCCACATCTTGGGCATCAATAATAAACCGTTGGTGATTCACTGAATCTGCTGTCTGGTGCAACTACCACCAGCCCTGTCAATATCCATTGCTCAAAAGAAGTTTAGGCTTCTGCTAATAAGGGCAAGGAATATATTTGTTATCGAATCTCAAACTTTGTACCCAAAGATGATCAGAGAAAAGAAAGCATTTTGCCTTTTTTTTTTTTTAATAATCTGTTGGACCATCCTTTGAATGAGACATGTCGTTATGTTTGCTCTGCTGTGTCTCAATTTTTGACTGGATAGCTTCAATTTCCAAACCCCACCACCTGGCTCTCCGCGAGTGGTTGAGGTAAGTTCAAACTAAAATGCCCACAAGGTTAACCTTCAAAGTCACCGTATTCTTCTCGGGAAAGCAGCATGACTGCTAAGCACACGTGAAAAGGAACAGAAGTCATATGATTCAGCTTTAACAAGATTGTCAAGTATGAATGCGGGACTGACACTTTGAGGGGGTTGGAATATGTCTCGAAAGAGTACGTTTGACTCTTTCTTTGGTGGTTTACATTTTCACTTTGAATGCATATGAACAGCTAAGTGTTGTGGATGATAATGCCTTCCCCATATCAGTCCAAAACAAGTTTTAGCTTATCAGTGATTTCTCCTAAAGTGACTACCTCAGGTATGGCCCCCAATTTTCCTTTTCAAAAAGTTGGTAGCGAAAATGTATTGAGATCAAACTTGTCAATGTAAAAATCGACCTACTATGTCAATTTTTTACTATGTTTGTTCTCATGGTTGAAGTATTTCGGTCGATTGATTTGATGAAATATGCGTCATATAAAGAAGATATACGAACAAGATAACGATGATGAATTATTCTTATGTAGAATGTTTTTGATTAATTTGTGCAATCAACGGGACTTACCTTCTTTTTTTTTTTTTAATTTTTCTAAGCTTAATTTGGAGGCAAGACCAAGGATCACCTTTTCATTTGATCTTGCCAAGCTATCAACTCTCATGCAGATATGGTTGTTTTCTCTGCAAAAAACTTTGATTGGTACTAACCCCAGATTGCCCATTACCCTGTTTGAGGGAGGAAGTGCTGCTTCTGATTTCAGTTTCATTGGATCTATCTGCAACTTGTGGTGGCAGAGCTAGCTATGATCTAATAGCTGGCAGAGTTATTTCACCCAAAAGAACAAACAAACAAGCTTTAAAGGATAAAAGGGTTTGAATTTAGGAAAATTTTGACCAACTTCTAACATTATAATAAGAAAATTAAGTGTGAAACCAAGCTGTCTTTGGTCTTATTTTTCTAATCAAACCAAGCTTTGGTATGCATTAGCTCATCTGCTGACATATATGAATTGGTCATCTTTCTAAAACTGTTATTATTGCTTCTTAAATGAGATTAATTTAACACAAAATCTTCACCTGATTCATTTCATCCAGACACAAAATCTTTTGTACTTTGTAATCTCAAATAAGATGAGATTATAGTGAGATTTAAACTGTTTCTTTCCCCCCTTCTGTTCTTTACATATATTCCATGCATTTGCATAAAGCAAAAACAAAGATGATTAAACCTTTTTCATTGCTTATGCTTTGATACCTAAATCTTGCATTCTCAGAACTTCAACACATGGATGAAGCTGTCCCAAGTTTCCTTCACTCTTGGAAAATCTTTTAAGAATAAGAAAAACTTTTATTGTTTCTTAGTACTTGAATGGAGTGAACCTGGTTGTTCAATGGGTTAGGAACAAGTCATCTTCCCCACCCCAGAGGACAAGATCCTTCATCCTTGAAGATCAAACATGGCAATGGATTTTTACATGGAATTGCATATTGAATTTGTACCTTTTCCACAGCTGCTTTTTCAGAGCATGTAACTTTCATAATTCTTTGAAGATTGGGACTGATCTCCCAGGTGATGTTACTCAGTCAAACAAAACGGTGCAATGAATTGGAATACAAATTGTTAGACATGACCATAGAGTCAAGAACTGGCTAAGTCATCTGGTTGCACGCTTGGCCAAACTAACTTAGCCTATTTCATAACCAAGAAAAGTCTCCAAAATAAATAAAAAAATAGTTTTTTGGAAAATTGATATTTACAAAAAATTTGGTTTTGTTTTGGTTAAGGACTGAGGTTGACCTAGTTATCTCATGTCCCATATAGCTCATCCCCTTCCCCATATAGCTCATTCCCTCCAAAGAATAACAATCTATATAGCTAATTTAATTACATAATTAATTTTCTTAATAAAGACAAAATTCCCAAGTTTTATATGAGGCCGTCAAAGGGGTGGAAACAGATTCCTTCTAGAAATTTGTAAGATTATTTTCCCACATGTGCATTTGAGATATTGTCATGCTTCTAGGTACCTTAAAATTTTTTATTATTATTTTTGTTATTATTATTTTTTTATTTAAAACCATGGTGGGATGTACGTGTTAATGTTGCAAACTCATATTTCTAGAAGTTAATGTTGCTTTCTCACTAAGCAAAAAGTGATAACTTAATTTATTTGTTAAAAGACTTTATTCATTCCTTTGGGTTAATTGATTAAAGACTTCTTTTTTTATTTTTTTCAGCATATGAGTCATTGACAGCAAAATTAGAAGAAATCCATGTCAAAGTCAACCAAATTCGCAAAGTCACAAGCACATGATTTCAATTACTTAGGTTTTCTTAAGAAAATTCGTCCATAATTGTATAAAAATGAACGAGGTATAATCTGTTAATATTGTATTTATATTTATCATTGCCGTGATCTCACTGATTTAATTTAAAATTTTAGTCAACCGTTGTAATCACGTTGACAAGTTTGAAATATGAACTGCGATGACCTTTTCTTCTCTTTAACATCTCTTCAATTTCGTAATGTCATGAACACATGAATTGTACAATCATAACTAATATATTAGGTTTCATGGCACATTAAGTTAGACTTAGCAATTTCGTGTTTCCTTGTTTTAATTGTATCGTGTAAATATTGGTTATTAACAGTTATACGGATAAACACGAACACAACATAATTAATTAACCATATAAAGATTTTAAACATATTTACATTTACAGATACGTTTAATGTACGTGTAATATAACGTGATAAGATAAATATGTTTATTAAACGTGTAGAGTTAAATTTTATTTGACATGATATGATTAAAATTTATACAATTATAACATGTTTACATGATTAACACGATTACCATGATTAAATTAAAATATTTACAAGTAAAATATAATTTTATTATTTGAATTTACAAACAAAAACTATATATAATAATATTTATCAAATATAATAAAATTTAATATCAATAAATCTTAATCATCATAAAATCATTCGTATTTATATGGATCAATAAATTGGTCCAAACCATACACTAAACTTGTCTACTCGATGTATGAACATGATTAAATAATTAGATAATTAACGAATGACATGGTATATGGATATATGATAATACGATTAACTAATTGTGTCATAGACGGGTTAAGTTGGTTTGATATGATTAAGACACGAGTTATTCATATCTACATGCTGAACACACAAAACCCTATTAACCTAAACCTAAACATACTTAAAATCTATGTTAATACAAAATTTTAAAATCAAGGTTAGACTAAGCCTAAACCCTAAATTGTTTTTTTCTTACCCGAAGCCCAATCTAAGCCCAATTTTGCTCAACTCTTTGAAGCCCAAGTAGTTGTAGCATCTGGTATAAGAAAACTATTCGTGGCTCACCCAATGAAACTGTGGGCTCATTATATTTTTTTGAATCCAAAATTTGGATGGAAAGGTCCACTAGCCTGTTCGGCAGGGCGAGGCGGTGAGGTGGGAGGGGGCTCCCACCGCACTGGACCCCCAAAATTTGAACTGTACAAGGGAGGGAAGTTTATTACAGATTCATTTTTTTTTATAGTACAAATGAAAAACTTAGTTTTGAAGGACAAAAGTTATTAAAATTTAAAATTATTTTTATTGACTACGGTACAATTTAATGGTATTTCTTTTAATGAAATTAACAAATATTATACTGAAATTTGATATACTTGATAAGATATGCATGCTTATAAAATTTTCAAGAGCCCTTTACGTGCCTTGTGTAAGATTTGAAGTCAGTTGTATACTTATTTTGAAGTACTTATAATGACATTCATTTTCACTGTCATCGTTGTGGTCGATCATCTTGCTTCTCTTCCTCTAAAAGTGCTTATGGTGACATTCTTTTTCACTTAATCCAACAGTGACATTATCATGGTCGACCATCTTGCTTCTCTCTCTCTAAAAATGTTTATAATAACATTCTCTTTCACTTAATTCGATCTTATTTTCGTTGTTATCGGTCAACTTAAATATTTTCATAAATTTTTTAAAATATATTGAAATATTCTCTCTACTACCTTTTGTGCTAAATTTAAAGAGGGAAAATAAAAGAGTTGCAATCTTAACAATGTTTAAAAAAGAAATGCACGATATGAAGAAATATGAGCAAAAAAGTCTATTTAAAATAAATAAATGGATTTTATTTTTCATGCTATTCTATGAGAGTTACATTTTTTCCAGGCTATTGTCCTTGTAACCAAACGAAACCAAGTCCAATCAATCATCAAAGTTGTCTTATAAACAAATAAAAAGAAATCAGCAAAGTATCAAAGAAACTTGTTGATTCTGATGTAGAAGGCGATGAAAGGCAAAGTCTTCGTCCACTCCAATGCCAAAGACCATTTAAGGTCAACGGTCCATTCCTCCCTGTTTCATTAGACAGATTTCACTTTTTTATTCCTTTTTCCACATTCAAATTTCAAAGTTTCAAAAACCCACTCAAGGAAACCCCAATCAAAAGGCAAAAACCACAAATGGCCCTTCTCTTGACTCACTCTGGGCTCTCTCTTACTTTTCTTCTCCCATAAAAGCACGCCCTTTTGCTCCTTTCTTCATTTACTTTTCTTTGAGCTTATTTTTGAGGGAATTGAAAGCAGGAAGAAGACGGAGAACGAAGTAATGGCGGTTGATAGCAGAGGAATCCCAACATATGGTGGCAGATATGTCCGTTACGACGTCTTAGGTATCATCTTTGAGGTTTCTTCTAAGTATGTCCCTCCTATTCAGCCTATTGGTCGTGGCGCTTATGGCATCGTTTGGTAATCTTCTGCTTTCTTCTTCTATTTTGGAAGCAAAAAAATACGTTTTATTTCCCATAAAAATAATGCTGTAGATTCATTAAATTTATTGAATTTCGGGGTTTTCTTTTTTTCTTTTTGGGATTTTAGTGATTAGACAGAGCTACTTAAAGTGGTATAGAAAGAGAATTTTTAGTGATCCTTTTAGAGAAATTTAAGAAATATAATTAGAAATGAGCTTTGGGTTTGTTCCAGTTTGATGTTTCAACAAGTTATAATATTTACTCAGGCAATTGAATTACTAGTATAGGTGTCTCCTACCCATAAAAAAATGCACACTTTAGGGAAAACAGAAAACAGATTTTGATTGTTTATGGTTTATTTACTTAGATCAAGTCATTTGAATATTATATGCAGACAGCCTTATTTGCTTTCATGTCAGAGACTGAGAGATGAAAGTTTTAATTGAATATTTTGGGGTCAATGTTTTTGAATTTTGTGATTGAGAGAATTGTTGCTTTCCTTACTGCAGCTGTGCCAGGAATTCCGAGACAAACGAAGAGGTTGCGATTAAAAGAATTGCGAATGCATTTGAGAACAGGATTGATGCTAAAAGAACACTCCGTGAGATCAAGCTCCTTTGTCACATGGATCATGATAATGTACTCATTAAATTCTAAATTTTGTTTGTTTTTATTAATACATTGTTCGCTTTCATTTGTTCTTATCGTGGTATACCATGAAAGAGAGATGAAGTGTTGCATTAATATTTTGCAGATTGTCAAAATCAAGGATATTATACTGCCACCGGAGAGGGAAAAGTTCAATGATGTGTACATTGCATATGAGCTAATGGACACTGATCTCAATCAAATAATACGGTCTAGCCAGCCTCTCACTGATGATCACTGTCAGGTGGGTTATATGCTTATATCATTATTATTGTATGACAATGTTGAAGTTCGTGATGTTACCAGTGTCCTTCCTTTTCCATCTTGGTCCATGTAATATGTCATGTTCAATTGTTATAATTGTGTTATGTCATGCTGCAGCACCAATGCAAGTTTTAGAATATGAGCTTATGTCTGACTATCCTAGTCTTAATTGCAATTGTATAGTTGTGCACTAGTTTAAATCAGGCTATAATTTCACAACTGTTGAAGCAATATTGTGGTTTTTGCAGTATTTCCTATATCAACTGTTACGGGGCCTGAAGTACATACACTCTGCAAATGTTTTGCACCGAGACCTAAAACCTAGCAACCTGCTTCTTAATGCAAACTGTGATCTTAAAATTTGTGACTTTGGTCTTGCAAGAACCACCTCAGAGACAGACTTCATGACAGAGTATGTTGTAACCAGGTGGTATCGGGCACCTGAGTTGCTCCTCAACTGTTCGGAGTATACTGCAGCTATTGATATATGGTCAGTTGGTTGTATTTTGATGGAGATAATTAGAAGGGAGCCACTTTTTCCTGGTAAAGACTATGTTCAGCAGTTGGGGCTTATTACTGAGGTATCCATCCCTCTTGATTTGTTCACTCCCAAACCCAATACCTCAGTTTCCTAGAAGAGCACTTAATATAGCGTAGTTGTAGTCTACAATATAACAGCCATATTTAGGCACTCGTAGAAGAAACGCATGAAGCAGGTTGCAAATTTTTATTGGACACTGAATACATGATAGTAATACTTGTATATATATTAATATTTTTCTTTTTTTTTTTTATTTTTTCATAAAACAGCTAGTAGGATCTCCAGAAGATTCAGATCTTGGATTCCTTAGGAGTGACAATGCTCGAAAGTACGTTAGGCAGCTTCCTCGATTCCCAAAGCGACCTTTTGCAGAAAAGTTTCCAGATGTGTCTCCTGTGGCAATTGATCTTGCAGAGAAAATGCTGGTTTTTGATCCAAGCAAGCGCATCACTGGTATGCCTTAGTTTGCCACTTCAACAATGTCCTTGTTTCTTGTTCCTCATTTTTTTTTCTGATAAGAAACATCTGTCTTTTGATATGATGCATATACAGTCGACCAAGCACTGAATCACCCATTTTTATCAAGTCTTCATGAGATCAATGAGGAGCCCACTTGTCCATCTCCTTTCATCTTTGATTTCGAGCAGACGACCTTGAACGAAGAAGACATAAAAGAGCTCATATGGAGGGAGTCTTTGAACTTCAATCAAGATAAGATGCTCGAATGAAGTCACTAACAAGCGTCTCCCGATTTTGTTTTATGCTGTTTTGCGTCAGTAAAGTCTGTTGGTTTTGGTGAAAAGGCTTGCTTATATATAAATACAAGATGACTTGTGTTCTAGCAGAAAAAAATCAGGGAGATAGGTTCTCCCTGGAGGTATTGAGATTTGAGATGGTAGAATGGGTGTTCGTTTCTTGGGTTTATTTGGGAGTTAATGGATTCAGATTATATTTAGGAATCCAATCATCTTAAGGGTGATATGTCTGTATAAAAGATGGCTAGAGTCTCTTGGCCTCTTATTGTGTATGGGATATGTCTGTATATTTTTTACATCCAGTTTATTTTTACGAGAGAAACAACAAACAGAAGAAAGGGTAGCAATATATAGACTTTGTTTTCAATTTTCATGCAAACAATTCATGGGAGCTCAATGACAAATAATTTTGTACCAAAAAAGGGCATTTATCTTTATGTTTTTCATGTAAACTTTGTATTTTAATAGGTTTCGTGCGAAAGAAAAATATGTATTTTATATTTTAAGAGAAAATTTTTTTATTTCAAAACGGTTTTTCATGATAATAATGAAATGTTCGATGTGAGATGAATTTATAAAAATAAAAATCATTCAATAGATATCGATTTGTGTATGAAAATGTATTTATGATTATTTTTTAATGAAAACCTTTTGTTTTAATAGATTTTTTTATGAAAATAATAAATTATTTGAAGGGATAAGAAATTATAAATATATAAAGTGTATGGAATACTTGATTCTGTACAAAATAAAAATAATGAATGTAGATTTTTTAATGTAAATTTATTGTTTTATTAACTTTTTATAACATGTAAAATCAATGAAAATATTGTTTTCCAAAAAAAAATAATTAAGAAAAAATATATAAAAAAGACATTTGCCCACATGGCACGATCTGATTGGAAAGGAAAGTCGATGCTCCTTCATACATGGAATTTCCTCTCATTTTGCTTCTTTCACTGTTTCGCTCGCTATTCTTCAGCAGAAGTGAGCTTCCAAAATTTCAAAGAGAGAGAGAGAGAGAGAGAGAAGAAGATGATTGCTCTTCAAATGTTGAGAAAGTCATCGCAGACTCGATCGAGAAAGCAATTGCCGCGGCTTTTCTCCACGATCTCTCAACTTTCTTCGCAGCAATCGACGCCGTGCGTTTCCATTTTCTCGTTTGTCTTTTCAAAATTTTCCCGATTACTAGTTTCTATTTCGAGCCGTTGATTGTTTCTTTTCACGGAAACAAGCAGGCCTTCTTTCGGCATTGCGTTCGATATAGACGGCGTCGTCTTACGCGGCAACACTCCCATCGGCGGCGCTCCGCGAGCTCTCCGGAGATTATACGATGACTCCGGTATGCATACGTACTTATATATGTATGTTATAAATTAATGTTGAAACCTTATTATTAATTTCTCGTGTTTGGTCATTAATTCTTGTCTGTGCTAGGACATTAGACTCTGATTAGTTCATTTTGTTGGGCAGGTATCCTGAAGATTCCTTTTATTTTCTTGACAAATGGTGAGTGAGTGAATCCTCTATGTTAGTTACCATGCCGCTAAAGCTCTTTCATCGATCATAATTTGTTTTCTTTTTCTTGGTTCCATCTTGGCTGTTGTATTTTAAGTTTACATTTCTACTGACCAAGCACTTAAGTGAAAGATTGTTTTGTGTGCGTTTTGGGTGTTAACTAGGTAGCCTTTAGGCTCAAGATGGACATTGTTTTTAATTTCTGATTTTTGGTTTAATGATTGATGTAGTGTAGTCAATTAATCATAGTTGGTTCCAACTTCCAATCTTTGACATCTTTGGCAGGAGGTGGTGTTCGTGAATCAAAGAGAGCCCTGGAGTTGTCAGAGCTCCTGGGTGTAGAGATTTCTCCTTCACAGGTATTTTCCTATGAAAATAGTTATCTTTTTTCGATTTTATTCAAATCCATTACATTTTACTTTATAAAAAGCTTTGTGGATGATGGTAGTAACAGCTAATGAAATCCGTTTTGCCTGTTTACTCATTCTAGGTTGTGCAGGGCCATTCACCTTTTAAGCAGCTGGTGAACAGGTATGATTTAATTTACCAAGGCCTGTGAATGTCCTCCAAAATGTTATAGCAAGTATGGCACTGCATGTACTTGTTGTAAAGGCTTCTAGGACAACTGTCTCTTAGTGTACTTTTCATGGAGACAATTTTTAACTTGGTGAAAACCCATTATCTATTAATCAGTGTTTACTTATTTTTTGATAAAGAAAGGAAAGGTCCAATCAAGAGTTAAGCATCATGCTTTTCAATTATGGAATCTATTTGTCTCATAATTTTCATTAATTATATCTTCTTCTTGTTGTCATACAGGTTTGAGAATGAACTAATTGTTGCTGTGGGAAAAGGTGAACCTGCTTCCGTGATGTCGGAATATGGATTTAAGTAAGCTTTTGAGTGTGCTTCCTGCATTGTTAGTCCAGATGTTTTTCACAGTTGGTTTGGGTAGAAATTCTTAATGGCTCATGTCATTTCAATTTATATGCAGGAATGTGATTCCGATAGATGAGTATGCACTATGCTTCGAAAGCATTGATCCACTGGCACCATACAAGAAATGGAACACCATGGAGGCTGCTGTCAACAGCGCTAGAAAATGCAGCATTAAGTCAGAGAGAGTTCAGGCAGCGTTTATTGTTAGTGATTCAGTTGACTGGAGCAGGGACATTCAGGTTGTCATCAACAATTTAATTATTTAATCATATCAAATTCTGTCGTGTTCATTCATTGAGAGGACCTCCTCTAGATTGACCAATTATAGCATTAGAATCTCTTTAATGTTTAGGTTCTTTGTGATATTTTAAGAACCGGAGGTCTTCCTGGCAGTGGAGAAGGACCTCAACCACCTCTGTATTTTGCACACGATGACTTTAAGTACCAGGTTAGTTATGATTTAGTTTCTAAAATTCAGTTGCTTGTTTTTCATTTTTTATGGATCTTTTTCTCTACTAGTAGCAATGTACTGATAATATACCAGTAAAGATAGGGTGCTTTTCCTTCTGAGCGTTTTGGCATGGGTGCTTTCAGAATTGCATTGGAATCGATCTTCAATAGGTAAGGAAATAAGGTATATGGGAAGAGGATTCTACGCCAAGGCTAGGATTAGATGGTTGCTATGCTTTCCTTTTAAATTTTTCTGAAAATGATTTTTTTGCCATAGCCTATATTTTATACCCCTCTAGGAATGCCTATAATTCAAGAAGCACTATATCACTCTGTCATTACGCCTTAGTATGTGGTGGCAGCTTATGTTCCCTGAGATGGCTTTCGTTAATGCTGCTAAATTAAACTTGCAGCATTCATTCCGAAGCCCTGAAGTATACATCCTTAGGAAAGCCGAATCCAGTTGCATTTAAGAATGCTGAAGTTGTGCTAAAGCTGCTAGTCTCAACCCTTTATCATGACCATGCACACTCTGGAAGTCATGATTTCAGAACCCTATATATGATAGGAGATAATCCTTTTGTTGACATCAAAGGCTCACGGCAGGTTTGTCTTTCTTGGACCGTTGTAACTGCATATTTTTGTACATCTCTATCGTTTAACACTGTTAACGGTGAGAGATAATACAATGTGCTTTCATGGTTCACGCTCCAGGCTGGGCACCCTTGGTTTCCCATCTTGACGAGGACCGGGGTTTTTAAGGGAGATTGTCATTCTAACCATGCGGAATTTCCAGCCAATCTGGTAGGCACTTGAAGCTTAAACTTGAACTCAATATGGCATCATTACCGCACCAACTCTATAAGAACCTTAAGTAGTTTCAAGTAATTCATAAGGTTCTTTCTGGTAGTTGTGTGGCCAAATTATACCTTTGGTTTCAATCCTAGAAATTAAGCGCCATTGTAAAACTCTTTTCTGTTTCCAATTGCAGGTTGTTGACACTGTGGAAGACGCTGTGAACTTCATTATGAGAAATGAGTCATACGAACCATAAATTAGCAGCTGAATCAGAAGGATTAGATACACTCACCCATTCAAGTTCTTCCCTCCTTTAGATTCAATATCTTAATCTTACTCAAACATGATATATGTTGTTTAAGAGACATGGTTTTGATTTTTCTTCTACATTTTACTTCTCCGATTCAAAGTTATGTGTATCGTGTATTGCAGGGATGTGGGAAGAGAGAATCAGATCTTGTGATGTCCAAACACAGTCATAATCTTAATTTTTTCTATTATTGTCATTAAAAATGTATGGCTGCTTAAGGCATTTAGAGATTTTTCCCAGCTTTTGTTGCATTTCAACTTTCAGTCGTTCAGATCTCTTGCTGATTGTAAATGGAAAGCCATTCAAAGAAATATCTAAATCATGAGGCATGAAAATCCAAGAGTATGAGATGACCTCCATTAATATAGTACGACATTCAAAATTGATGAAGGATGACGCGAAATTAGAATTTGATCACTTGTTTTGGCTGACTCCCGAGTTTCCCAAGCGCCTTGTCCAATGCAGTGCGAAAATTGTCAAATGGAACCAACTCCATCCTGCAAAGAAGAGCAGAATGGTTTACATACATGAGAATTGAATAACTGATGGTGAGTGAGATCATCTACAAAAACATACTCGTATTTCAACTTCCCCTCTTGTGCCAGGCACAGAAGGTAATCTACCATATCTCTGCATTCTTTCGCTTTATCTGCACTTAACCATTTCTGTAGCCAGAATCCTCTCAAGGAAAGGTCCTGCAAAGATATAGGAGAACGCAAATACTTTCTGAATTCAGAAGCTACTTTTATTCTACGTGAAATTATGTAATACTTGGACGAACAGCAGCACATCACTAAGCTGCAATAGGAAAGAAGATAGGTAAGCCCTGGTTTACCTTGAATATGAACAATGAAGTTGATACAGTGATAGGCTTCTTGGACATTCCACCATATGTTACCATGGTTCCTCCCTGCCTGAAATGACAAATTAGTTAGCATTCCAAGGGTAGTTTGATTTTTACTAAAAGAGAAATGTACAAGGTCCTCATGTTGCCAGACCTTAAGAACTTGAGAACCAAAGAAGCAGCGTTTCCCCCAATGCAGTTGAATCCCAGAGTAGGTTCAGGTATATTTGACTGGCATGTTAATTACAAGTTAAACGGAAAAGATGAGCGAACAACCACAAAAAATACAATTTATAAAAATAATAAAAGAAAAATGAATACATATGAGGAAGAACAAATATCTCCCTACAATCAACTATAGTGTGTCCATAAATGATGATACCAGAAGGCCCTTGACATTCTTCACTTCTAGTTGGCTCTCAGTAAACACTTCATCAGCACCGAGAGCCTTTAATCTTTCTTTTACTTCATCCGACCCAGCCCTAAAGCAAGCAGAGGATGGTATATAAAGATGTGCCCGAAAAAATTGCATGCATCAAACTACAGAACACTAATGGATAAAAAAATACAATCAATGAAACCATTTAACACAAAATCTGTGCGGTCAATGACAGTCGACTTCCTCCTTAACTAAATACCACAAACTGATGACACCGTCTAAGTTAAAAAAACTAAATAAATAAGTGTGATGACAAACTCATGTCAACAAGAAGCTAAAGTCTCATACTGCACCTGTCCCGGATAATGTTAATGCTATGGATGCCACGAAATCTTGCAAGCTGGATTACACATTGTCCCACGATGCTTGTAGCCCCATTTTGGACAATGGAATCTCCTGCTCATACAAGTATAATCAAGAAGAGCAGGAGATGGAGGCTTGAAAATGGTCAAATACCATGTCAACAGCTGTAGTACCTGAGTTTAAAGTTACGAAGTCTTCGAGCATTCTTAAAGCAGTCAAAGGATTAACAGTAACTGTTGCAGCATACTCGATTGGTGAATCTTTACTGATTTTATGCCACATATCCTGGTCCTTCACAACATAAGTTTGCCATGTTCCTGCCAATCAAGTTGCCAATTGACCTTAGCACTCAAGCAGAATCGATAAGATATGTCTGAGAGCTAATTTTTCTATTATACTGCAAGAAACTATATCTTCATTATTTTAAAACGTCTAAATGAGAAAAAAGAAAGAAACTTCAACCAATTTTGTTAAGTTGAAGAAAGGACATCGAAAATCACAAATTTCCCAGCTTCCCATCAATTAATAGGAAAAAATGCAGCATCTTGCAACTTTCAACTATTAGTAAATACAAAATTCCCTTTTCTAAGTCTCCTTACTCCAATAAATTCCATCACATCTCTAGTCTTAGATGTGTTAGACTAAATTGCAACAACACCAGCCATTCTTAACCCATGCCCCCACTTGTTTTAAGGTTTCACATTCCAACATAGAAGTGATTTGAGATATGAAATTCAGCACCAAAAATTGATGATACATAAGCTGAAAAACTTGTAGAATTATAGATTTTAAGCAAGTTGCATTCAAAGTAAAGTTAACAAAGGCATAGCAAAAGGTGCAAAGAACAAACCTGAGGAGGGAGGGGAGGGAATGACCAAATCACCAGCCGAGAGACCCGTAACCGCAGACCCAACAGAATATACTTCTCCAACACCCTCATAGCCCCCAACTGCTGGCACTTGTGGCCTCACAGGGTATACGCCTACACACCAAAAATTCACTTCTTTATCTAAACACACTTAGAACTATTACTCTTGTAAACTACCCAATTCAACTAAATCAAAGATAAAACAGGTTTTAATCAAATGAAGTAAAACCCCAATAGGAAAGATGGAAAAGAAAGCCAAACCTTCAATACGGTTAATATCAGAGGGATTGATAGGAGAAGCTAACATTTTAACGCAAACTTGATTCTCCTTCACTTCTACTGGGGATAGCTCTATCAGTCTGCAAAGATCAAAATAAGGAATAACAATAAAAACAAAAAGAGAAAGATGAAATCGAATTTGGTGTTTTGGGGACCTGGTAACGGAGTCGGGTGGACCGTGGTGCTCGTACACGACTGCTTTGGAAGGCGGAGACATGATCGCCGATAAAGCCCTTACAGTTTGGGCCTGTTGCAAACTCCTGGAACGACTCCGTTGCAGACTCCATAAACCGGCGTTCACTGCTTTTACCACTACCGTTCTCGCCACCGCCATTTTTGAGCTAAAGAGAGCTGAAATTTGCCTGGACAAAGCAAATCACCCAGAAAGTAGGAAAGCGAGGACGTCGTTTAGGAATACAGAAGCCCACTGACAATCTGGCCCTATCTGGAATTACCCGAAGTGGGCCCAATTGTTGCTGGAGAAAATTGGGCTAAGGTTAGGGTCGCCAGTTCGGAGCAACTTGTTCTTGGATCGGACCACTGGCATCAATCGATTGGGGCTAACTGGGCTAGGCTTACCATCTTTGTTTTTAATTTAACTACACTGCCTATTACTTAATGCATATAGAGATATTAATGGGTATGTTATAATCGTGTACATTATAATATTTGATTCGATTAAGTAAGATTAAAATATATTATAATTAAAGTTTCATAGTAAAATTATTGTTTATTACAAAGTTTGGACAGTGGTCTTAAGATATCCATTATCTCAATCGTAAATAGTGATTTTTAATATTAAATTTTATTTTTATTTTTTTGTTTATAATTTTTTATAAATAATATAATACTTACTAAAATTCATTAATTATTCTAAATATGATTTTAAATTTTAATTTTTCTATGAATAAATTATATTTATTAATTTAATTTTTGTTAGTAATATATAAAAACTACTTTAATTTTTTTTAATAAGATATTTTACATGTGGTATCTAAAATACCAAGATAAAAATTTAGAAAATAATTTAAATTTTTAATTATGTATTAATAGGATTCGGGTATTTTATAAAATAATAAAATTTAGGTACCTTATAAATAATAAGATTTGAGTTTAGATATTTCAAAAATAATGATTACCTTACATTCTTAATCATAAAGTATTATCTTATTAATGTTTAAAGTTAAAAGTTCAAAAATATTTCAAAATAAATATTTATAAAAATATGAGTAATTATGTTTTCAAGTTTTCGTTCTTAAATTTATTTATTAATAAAAAAATAATAATTTGTTATATAATAATAATAAATATTATTATATGATTATATATTAAATATAAATTCATATGTATATAAAGTTTTCAAACATAACCAATTTTTTTTTTAAAAAAGGAATATACCTTATATAAAATAACATAATATTCCTTAAAATTTGCCCCTAATGTCCAAATATTTCAGTTGTGGCCAAAATGGAAGTATTCATGGGATAAAACAAAAAATAAAAGGATAAGAATTACAATTTACTTTTTATATTAAAAAGTATAAATTAAAAAAGGATAAGGGTTTGCGAATGTGACAAACAGATTTCAGGTAAGGCTATTCTCGTCACTAGCCAAAAACGACCTCGTTTTCAGTCTAGGGCTTCCCATCCTTCCCCACGGCCATGCAAAAGAAAGACCTTTTAAGGGGCCGTCGAGGGAGCCACGTGTCCTGTCTCCAGATCTGAGAGTATCGATTTAAGATTCGGCTCTTCGACGCTATGCTCCCAGCTTTTGATATTGTCCACGTCATCATCCATCAAAGTCTCGCGCATCGACTGGTGGAATAGGCCCACTTGCCACGTGAACATCTGAACAGCTCCACACCTCCATTTGTTACACGTCAGCAGCTCCCCCCAGAATAATATCTTCTCTCTCGCTCTTCCATTTCTCTGTCTAAAAACTCTCCTTCTTTTTTTTTTTCTGTTTTCTTTTTAGCTCTCCCATTTTATTTTTATTCTTTTGCCAGTCAAGCTTTTATCTTTGACAAATTTAATATTAAAAAAAAGAAAAAAAGGTTTTGTAATGAAAAAAAAAAGGGAAAACTCCACTACCTGGTTTATATTGAAGACCGTTTTTGATGATAAAAAACTAGATTAAAGTAGAAGCAATCTGGTTTTTCTTGCATGAGAGCTTCTAATGGCTGCTTGCTGTTCCATGGACAAGCTATAAAGGTGTCAACTTTCATCTTCTTTTCATTTTTTTTTGGATATTTTTGGTGGGGTTTTTCTGCCTGAGTAAATCTACTAGGACCCTTTTTTGTTTTTTTGATGTGTTTAATTCAATGTTTTGTTTGGCAGCTGAGAAAAGGTAAATGATGCATGAGAGAAAGCTAGAGGCTTCACCTGGTTGCTCTGTAAATGAAACAAGGATTCATTTTTTTAATATATTTTTTAAAAATGGTTTTGTTAGATATTTTGGTTATTTGAAGTGTGATTTAAGAAGGGTAGTCTTTCTTTTTTATTATATTATTTTTAGATCTGATATTTGCTCGTAAAAGTCTTTGATTTGTTTAGAGATTGAATTGAAAGTTCAGTGGTTGTTCAGAAGCTATTAGACTTTATATTTTCTGCAGCTTGCTGCATGCAAGTTTTAATTTTAAGTATGGCTGATTTAAGTTGATTTCATCTTCTGGGATTGTTTGCAATTTCAATCTACTAACTATTTTAGGACTAGGACTGCCTATTTAGTTTTATAAATTTAGCTTTGGATGTATAAAGATTCTAAAAGTTTGTTGGTTTTTAGCGTTTTGTATTGAATGGAGTATGGTCAGCTGTGTTTCTTTTCTCAGCTTTTTGAACATATTTACATTCTTTATTTTTATTGGTCTACTCAATTTGATTGCATTCCTCCCATAATTGATGTTTTGAATGTGGTTGATTGGAGCAGTACCAGTGAACGATGATGGTTTTGAGGATAGGTGGGAAACAGTATGTGTCATGAGCAACAAGAAGCAGGGAACGGAGTCGTGAGTGAGGGGCAAGGTTTGGGTTCATCTGAGGAAGATGAGTTAAGGGTTGTTGAGAGAACTGTAAATGTAAGCAATGGGCCCTTGGGAGCAATTGAGGCACGTGATGGGTCGCAAATACCTCAGCAACAACCTCAAGGTTCCATGATATGTTGGGAGAGGTTCCTCCCTATTCGGTCCCTCAAAGTTCTCCTTGTGGAAAATGATGACTCAACACGCCATGTTGTGAGTGCATTACTACGGAATTGCAGTTATGAAGGTGTGTATTTGTGTTTCTTTCATCTGGTGGATCGAATGTTGAGGACTTAAACTCTTAAAGGTGTTGCTTTGGTTTCCTGATGAGATAAAATTGCATCGGTAATCCTACCACGAGTTTTAAGATAATAGAATAAATTGTATGCTAGAAAGATCATGCTGCTTCTACTTTCATTCTGAATGAATCATCTATTGTTTGTTGAAGAAGTAAACTTTAGGAACATTTGCATAATGTGGTTTACATTTCTTTACTTTGCACCACACAAATGGGTTGGGATGGTTCAAGCTTTAAATGGTGTTCAATGGGCATGCCACTGGAACTTTTACAGTTTCAGTTAAAAGAACCTTAAATGAATGAATTTAGGGTGCTTTTATATTTTATTATGTGAAATGCCATTGTAGAAGTTACACTGTCTATGACTAGACATTCGTGCTCATTAAAAGCCCTAAGAAGTTGAAAGTTAAGCTTAACCACTCTTTCGCCCTCACAGTTAAAGCCTTTAAATATGGTCTTGGCAGTTATGGCCGTTGCAAATGGTCTTCAAGCGTGGAAAGTCCTAGAAGATCTGACGAACCACATTGATATTGTCCTGACAGAAGTGGTCATGCCTGTTTTATCAGGAATTGGTCTTTTATACAAGATTATGAACCACAAAACTTTCAAGAACATCCCTGTGATAAGTAAGTATCATTCACTAGCATTTTGAAATTGTTTTAATTGAGAGGTAAGGTCTAATTTTTAATCATTATTTCTGGCTTTAAGCATATAATTATCACCACTATTGACATGCTATAATTTTGCAGTGATGTCATCTCATGATTCTATCAGCCTAGTCTTTAAATGTTTGTCAAAGGGTGCAGTTGATTTTTTAGTAAAACCTATTCGGAAGAATGAACTTAAAAATCTCTGGCAGCATGTTTGGAGGAGATGCCACAGTGTGAGTTCCTCTACATCTCTGCTTCAAATGTGATTATGTCTTATGAATCAATTGGGTTTTAGCTTCATTGTCAGTAAATATTCAGAGATTCAATTCACCTTCCCTAGAAAGTACTGATGCACAAAATTTCCCAGGAAACTTTACGTCTTTTAAAAGCAGTTGATTCAGGTTCTTTAAACTTATGTTGTTCCAAATGGTGGTTTTGTTGTAGTGGAATTGTGTGTCTTATTTCTGATTGTAGTGTTGCCATCCAGTTCACTGAAGGCAATGAGTTTTAAAGTATCTCCTGAATTTTGGATTAATATCTCATTCTTTCTTAGTCTAGCGGCAGTGGGAGTGAAAGTGGAACACAGTCAAAAAAGTCTATTAAGTCAAAAAGTAATGATGAGTCTGAGAATTATGCTGGCAGCAGTGATGAGCATGATAACGAGAGTGATGATCTGATTATCCGTGATGGAAGCGAAAATGGGAGTGGCACTCAGGTAAGGATATGCAAATAGTTGTAAGTTACATAACTAAATGGGGAAAAATTAGGGGGAGGGATTATTACTACAATTATCAATCCTTTCAACTTTTAGCATCTGAGATCTAGGATATTACTGATAGTTATAGTTAAGATTGTTTATACTCTTTCTAGGGTTCATGGACAAAAAGGGCAGCTGAAGCTGAGAGCTCTCAGCCAACGTCATCCTCAAATCAATTGCCTGATGCTCCTGATAGCACTTGTGCTCAGGTGGTCCATGTAAAGCCTGAAAAATGTAGGACTCAGTGGGTACGTGTTACCAAGACAAAAGAACGCCAAAAACAGCATCAATTAGTTGGTATGCCTTGTGATATTTTGTTTTGATCATTTAGATCTTTCTTTCACTTTTTCTTGTTTGTGAATAAAGCTCTATGCACTTGTATTCCACATGATGATGCAGAGGGCAAGGACGTGGAACTAAGAGTTAAAAGAAATCCAGAACTGCAATGTGGACATCAACATGAAAATCTACCTACTCATCAGGAAAGCATAAAGCAGAATGGATTGCCTGAAGCAGAATGCAAGCAATTTGACAGCAGACAGTTGGAGCACCAGAATGAGAACATAACTGGCAAGGATCGAACCCCTAATGTAATTAGTGCAATTTCCAACTGTATCAATGAACAAGCTGAAAGCAGAGATTCTGATGCCCCCAATGGCCCTTTTTATATCCCAGAAGTCAAAGATGGAACATGCCATGGCTCTGGAGAAACACCATCACTTGAACTGACTCTTAAGAGGCTACAAGGAGCAGCAGATAGTCGAATCGCTGCAAATGATGAGCATAATGTTTTGAGACATTCTGATTCGTCAGCTTTCTCAAAGTAAGAATATTACTTGCAGACTTTAAACCACATTTATTGCTTTTAACTTATTACAATCAAACTTGAAATCATTCTTCTCACTTTCCTTCCTTTCTTGTACTTCATATGCAGATACAGTACTGCATCCTCTGCTAATCAGGTATGGTCTATAGCACTCAGGCAGCAAGTATAGTGGATGTCAATGTTTTAATCACTGCAAAGTTGCAACATTTCCCCTTTTCCACTTAATCACTTGCTTGCATGTTGCTTACTGCAACTATTGTGCTGCCAATGATATGATAGTAAAACCATAGGGCAAGACTCTTTGAGTTGGTCTGATTTTGGTTTCCCTGATTCCAGGCTCCCACAAGAAATGTAGGAAGCTGTTCTCCACTTGATAATAGTTCTATTACAATGAAGACAGAAACAGTGCGCACTTTTCCATCTCAATCAAATGGGATTCTTTTGAATCAGCCATCAATTGGAAGCAGCAACAAAAATGATGTTATCACCGCTGCTAAACGTGCCAGCTCAAAACCAGAAGCTTTGAATGACAAGTGCGGGGCCATGTCAGCATTTAAACACTTTCACTCATCTTCCTACCAACCAACGCCGAATGGTCATATTTGTTCATCACAAGACGTGTTAACTGAGAAGGCAGATGATACTGGATTTAAAACTGCACATTCACAATCGAGAAGTTCAAATCAGGTGTTTCATGTGCAGCACCAATGTCATCTCCACCAAGTTGGGAAAGAGCAGCATCAGTTGCAGCCAGACCATGATACCTCACTGAAGATTATGGCAGTAACTGCTTCACAATGTGGATCATTCAATGTGTTTGAAGGGCCCTCTGAATGTAATATTATAACCTATAGTGTAAATGGGAGTGTCTCGGGGAGTAACTATGGCAGCAATGGACCTAATAGGAGCAGCACTGCTTTAAATGCTGAACAGGCAATCATGGAAAGTGAAAATGGGGCAGCTGGTGCAATGAGTGGGAGAAGCAGCGGTAGTGGAGCAGATGGAGATAGGGTTGCACAGAGAGTCGCTGCCTTGACCAAATTTCGTCAGAAAAGGAAAGAAAGATGTTTTGAGAAGCGGGTAATTTACTTTTTCATTTATACCTTTGCAATAGAGCAACAATATGGTTTGCATAGTAACTGTATAATTGTCTTAATAAATCAAAGAGTTTGTTTCCAAGTTTCACATTATGCAATGTTTACCTTATTGGATAGGATATTCATTTCTAAGTGCCTAAAAGTTTAATGGATGATAGGAATTGGAAAGCATCATCTCACACCTGGCTATAAGCATATAACAGATTTGTATGATCCAACCAGGAAGCTATAAGGATGTCAATTATAGCAGTGATGATAAATTGAATTGATGAAACAGAAGTAGTGTTTACATGGAGTGATACACGAAGTGATTCATTTCTTTTAACTCTCTACTGAATGTTCTTAAAATAGTTTATAATGGGTTCACTTCTTATCAATTGTGTAATTTGTGCATCTCTTGTTTTTAATTGCACTCACAAAAATTGTATGTCTGCAAACAAGTTTGCCTTATTACTCGGTCCAACTTCTATGGATAGTTGAGCAAATATAGCAGCATTATAAATGTGAATTCAGCCTGCTGTTGATTTTCGTGAGAAGAATGTGAAGTCGGCACTTGCCTAGTAAGAGTATGATAAAACTAAGCCGGCTTCTGTGGCTCTTACTTCTCAGGTCAGATACCAGAGCAGGAAAAAGCTGGCAGAACAACGACCTCGTGTCAAGGGACAGTTTGTGCGGCGGCTAGTGTATGATAATTCAAATTGGAATGTAGATTATTGATTCATCATGATTAGTATGCCTCTAAACAGGTCTCTCACTATCTCTTTGCTTCTCAGGTCTGATTCTGATGGAGGAAAAGATTGTTTGAGTAATGGCCTTGCATCTGAAGAAAATTCTTCGGATAGTGTAAGATGACACAGGCAGGGTTGCAGATTGCTAACTTGACCCTTTTCCCTGATAATGCATATAAATATTTGTAAATGAGACGAGCACTGGCAGTGTGTTTAGGGAAGGAATACGTTCCATATGGACTGATGGGTTTTTTCTCTCTTCCTTCGATGAGGGGCTAATACTATACTGCAGGAAAACAAACAATAGAATTTTAGAACTTATATGAATAGTTTGAACTGTCTGTTGTCATTGTAAACTATGATGAATTGCTGCATGGAGACTGATCTTGAATGGGATAATTTCCTATTATTCTTCATGGAACTAAACCGGCATTGTTGGTGTCTCTGTACTTCAAACTCTGTTGTGCTAATTCAATCCTTAACTAGAAATCTTGTTTATTCTTAATAGGATGATGTAATTATATCTAACCGAAGCCCCCTCTATGGATCTTCAATGGTGGCAGCTCTTTCACTTAATATCATGATCAGGAAATAGGTTATTTCACCCATGGTTTACAAGGTTTCAACTTTCAGACGTAAGAAACAGACACCAGAGATGCCTTCAGCCCCAAGACATCACCATTGTCTTTAAGGATGATGAATTCTGGGTTCAAGAGTCCGTGGGTCTCTGTGGATGCGGAATTCTTGTTCCAGGAACTGGTTGGGAGGCAAGGCAAGTGCTTGGTCGGATGCAAAGTAAACTTGTAGGACTTATACAAATTAACTACACGACCTTATCATTAAAAAAGTGAAATCTGCTACCAGAACATCGGTTCTCCTTAATTGGAAAAGGGAAATACAACAAGGCAAACCGTAGAAGACAGGAAGGATTATATAGCTGAAAGGAGGACATACATTCAGCTTCAAACCAAACCATGACCTCTTTTTTCAGCTGTTGCGGACCCATTTAACAGCTGGGGCCATTAGAGAGTTTGTGATAAGCAAAGAATTTGCTCCCTTTCAGCCCCTAGAAATTTGGGCACTCTTCCTGACTCCTTTTAACTATTGGATAGAAGATCGAATTTGTTGAAGATATTATAGTAATGGCAGTACCATTTTAATGAACTGTTTCCAATTTTAATGTAAAAACTTCAAAACATTTGAGTAAAAATCTTTTGTTTTTTTTGATATTTCGTTTGATATCTTTTTCGTAATTTTACATCTCGTGTTTAATAAATTTTTATATTATTAAAGTTTTTAATTAATAGCATAAAATAAAACACGTATAAAATTATCAAACGAGATAAAAAATTTTTTATATTGTTATAATTACGTATATGTATTTTAGGCAGGATCTTTCTTAAATGCAATGGTGGTTGCTCCCCTTGAATGCAATTGGCAACAGCATTGATGGATTATATTAATGGTAGATCAACAACCACGATATTTTGGCAGAAGAAAAGGTACCATGATTTCTTTAATTCCTTGCTATACGCCATGTATGGTTTTCCTTCTCTTGTAACTTCAACCCCACAACTCTTAAAAATGCTAGCAATACCTGGCAAGACACATGGTCAACATTTGTTCCAGGCTTTATTAACAAAGAAGAAAATCAGTAGGAAGGAAAGATTGACTAAAGGCTACAACTCCCCTTCCTTCCACAACTTTAAATCATTGTCTAGAAAGTGGGTGAGTGAAGGATAGAAAGTCTTCAACTTATGCCTCAAGATTTCACTCTTTTACCATATCATGTGCATCAATGAAGATAGAGACACAATATTAGAGTTTCGAGTTTATAAATAAAGATTTTTTTTTAATAATAATTTAAATCATTACATATTTTCAAGTAATGCCATAAATCTTTCGTGTTTCAATACATGCATCGAAGAAATAGATGTCTATTAACCTAATTCGAAAGGCATAGTCTCCTTCTTGGACTCCTATCTATGCCTCAGTAGAGTAAGAACATGAGCTCAAAATTGGGAGGGACTAAATAAATGGTTCTATGCCTATCTCTATAATCTCTATCTCTATTTTTTAAAAAAATAATTTTTAATTTTATTATTTAACTAAAACATAATATACCAATCAATAAATCAAATGCTCGGATATATAATCTGTCTCTATTATTAAAGAAATACTTTTTACATTAAAACAATGAAACAAAAGGGAAAAGAGCAATTTCATAAAGCAAAGCATAATTATTGCAAAGTTGATAAGTAATGAGTGAAAACTTTCGGCTACTGTTGTTGGATACAAGCCAATGAAAAAAAAGAAAAAATGAGATAAATGAGCCTTTACCTCTCAAAAAGTGTCATTTTGTTTTCTCTTTTAATAAAAAAAAGTTGAGTTTAATTCAAATTATTATCTTGTGTCTTAAAAATGTGTTTTAATATACATTATTAAAATATATTTATATTAAAGAAAATAATTTAATACCATATATAATACTATTTGATATAATGATTATTAACAAAATCCAAATTTAAAAACAAAATTTTGAGACTACAATTCTAATTAATAACTCAAATGTCAACTTTTGTCTGGCACACAACAATTGGCCCTAAAAGTCCTAAACTGTGGCTTTATTAATTGCCACCAATTACAATACAAAAACTAAAAAAATAAAGAGCACTAGGGTATTTGGTCCCCCTTTGTGACTTTTGTGACTATGAATCAATCATATATGAAACTATGTCCCTTGTGTGTTTTTTTCTTTTAGTTTTATTATATATATAGATGATAAAATTATAAATTTTATACACAAACCTATAAATTCCACGTGTAAGTTAAATTAAACTTAAGAAAAATTATCGAGACTAATTAATTGAGTCTAAATTAAAAAAATTGTAAAATACAAATAAAGTGAGTTAGAGATAAACAAAAGGTGATTTCCATATCAATTTTGGTGAAACAAAGCTTTTTCCTTTACAAGCCAAGCACATGGGATTACCACTTTACTAGCTTTTACTATTATCGATTAAGTTTCTAATTCCAATTATTTTAATATCTTCACACTAACAAAAAAATTTCCATTTTTTTGTCAAAAAAAGTCAAAAATCCAATAAAAGTATAATTATTAACAAATTTTGATAAAAAATCTTATTATGTGTAAATCTCCTGTCTTTTTGCTTAGACATAGAATCTTGGTTACCAAACATGATCATTAGTTTAAGTTAACAAAAAAAAAATTAACTGCAAAAACGGTTGGATGTCTCCAATTGGTAATGAACCATCAATCTTTTCTGTCTGTCTTAGTCCAAATACCCCACTCATCAACTTTAGGATAATTAAATCAAATCATTAATGAAATAAATATGTCAAAACTTTAGGTAAAATATAACATTTAAATCCCAATTTTGCTTTGGGTATGTGCCAAGTGTATTAATTTGCCTAAGTTTTTATTATTGATCTTACCCCTACATGTGGCTTCTGTTTCTTTTGATAATTAACCAATGATTTATTTTTTATATAGTTGGAAGTTTCTATATCAATCATAATATAATATTGTTTTCTATACCTTTTGGTGCACCGACCATGCCCTAATTATGTTGTTATTTGATTGGATTTATGAACACGTATGGGAATTTTGGGGTGGCTTAGGTATATAGTTTTTGTATCCTGCATATTATTATAATCTAAAATTACAATAAAAAAAATCCACTCGTTGAATTATTTTATTATACTGAATTTATTGAAACTCAAATAGATATATAAATGCTTTATTAATTATAAAATTATTTCAAAAACAAAGTGTATGCGAGCGATATTTTTTTAAAAATTATGACATATTGATAATTCATGTAAAATGTAATCTTTTCTAAACTTATAAATCTTATTCTCTTATCAAAATTTGAACCTTTATATACTTTACAATTAAGTTTTTTTTTTCATAGTTTTCCGGTGAAATGGGTTTTTTATTTTTTTAAATAAAAGGAAATTATAACCATTAATTTCCTCGTTTAAAAAGGTGAAGTTTTAACAAATTAAGTGTTTTTATGATCTGTTAGCCCTTCTTGTAAAATAGCATTATTGTTCATTAACTATCTCAATCAGTTTTGTATGGTTTCTTTTGGGCACTTTTGCCTCCTTCAACAACTCTTGCATCATGAATTTGGATAAAGTTGTAAGTTATTTCCATTATTTGGAAAAAGTAATCATTAATGAGACTAATTACTTTATATAAAGAGCAATTACCTTGAAACTTAAGCTTAGCTTGTTTAATTAATGTCAAATCAATGGGAGAAGAATTTCCATTTATTTGGGAATTTCCATAAAAACAGTATTTTTATAATAAGTTGAACCTTATCTGTAATTTTACTTTAAATTCAAAATTAGAACTAAAAAAGTAAAAAAATCTTTGTTGTTTTTACTCGTGTTTCATCTTAGTAATATTGAATTTGACAATGTAACTATTTGATTAATTATCATTTATAAATATAACTCTTTTAATATATAAAACAGGTAAGATTATTTCAATATGAAAGTGATAAGATAATTTTTTTTTGAGGAATTATAAAAATATGAGACGTAACATTTTATGTTTTGCAAGAGAGCGTACATACAAATATATAATGTAAATATTATTAAAATGTATAATATTTATAAATTATCATTTAATTGCATAGTGTTGTTTTATATATATGTAAAAATTAATTCAAAAATTCTTAAGAATAAATATTTTTAAAATAACAAATATTTATTTTAGAGGGTTTTAAATTTTTAAATTTATTTATTAATGAGATTATAATATTTAATTTATGAATAATATATGAAAAATTTAGAAAATTGAAAAACAAAGGCATAAAATTTATGGGCAATCAAGTTTTAAAAAATATTAGTAGTAGTAAATAGAAAAAGGACAAGGATTGCAAAATTCCTGGAGGCTGGAACTTTCCTGCCTGCGCTAAACCGAATTCCGACGCGTTTACCGTCTGATGTACAGTGACATTTAAATTCCAGCGGTGATCAGCTACTGTGGAACCCAGTTAAAGCCTGACAGATGTAACCGCACCATTGGCCTGGATCCTTGGACTGTTGATTGCGAGTGTTTTTAATATTTTTTGAAACGCGTGGATCACCGTTCAGCTGTTAAATGAATCATGAATACAAAAAACCGCGTGTGCCAGTGGGTCCACATTCCAGGTGGCTGCCACCGAAAGGTTTGACCTACCTTAAATTTGAAATATCAGACGGTGATTAAAGGCTGTCTGTGATGCCGACGATACCTGCCAAGTGGCACTCACACAAACAAAAATTAAAAAAAAAACGAAGAGGCAAAAAAGAAAATTTTGCTTTTCCACTGTACAAGAGGACAAAGATCTGTTGCGACGACTGACCCGCTGCCGAATCACTGTGGGACAATCAAAGGCCGCCACGTAAGCAAACAGGTGTTTTTTAAAGAACAGGAACCGGACAAAAAACGACTGCACGGTTTCTCCCACATGATATGACCGAAAAACCCTTTTCTATATTGCGTGGCACATTCTTATAAGTTTAGACTTCAACGAGTCTCCTTGAATTGGTTTACGCCTGAACACTACCTAAAATTATAAGAAATAGAACGTATAAAACCCTGACATAAAAATTTATTTTTGCTTCGCCCTGATTTTCTGTCTCGTAAGATTGTACGAACTTTTCTTCCTCTCCGCTCTTTCTCTCTCTAAGCATATGCTGTTCCTTCTGTTCGGTTAGTACTTTCTTGAGGGTTCAAATTTTCTCTGTGCAGCTGAGAAAGAGCAGGAAAAAAGAAAGAAGGAGAGAGAAAGAGAAAGAAAATACAGAAAAGGAGGGAAAGATTTTAATTACAATTATTTTTTTAATTATTATTGAGTATGGGTTGTTTTTGTTGCGCTGGGAATTCAAGCCAAAGATCAGAGAAGCCAACAGACAAGAACAGGAACGGGAGTGATAACAGCAGCAAGAGAAACACACACCATGATCAAACACAAGCCAGTTCGGGTATTGAATATGGTTTAATTCTATGCATTTTTTATTGCTTTCTTTCTCTTGTGAAATGCATTGTATCTGATCATGTGTTTGATTTTTGTTGTTGCTATTATCACTATTTTTCTTGTGTTTTTTTGTTTCGATATGTGACACTCTTGATCTTTCTGTTGTTCTCCTAGGAAGTCAAGGTATCCGATTTTAGAACATTTTTGTTGTCGATTTTCTTCCTAACCCAATCTTCTTTTACAATTTTTCGTTACTTTGGTTTTTTGTTGATAATGGGTGTTGAAATCAAAATGGATTCTTCTTTGGTCATGATGTTTTCTTTCTCTACATCTCATATTTTTCCATTGTTAAAGCTAATGACTTTGGGTTTTAAGTACTTCTTTTATCCATGTAATATGTTACTTGAGCAGATTGGTAGTGATTTAATTATGATGTATTGGTGAAATTTTTATACAGTATCTTCTTAACATGTGCCGTATGTATAATTATGTTAGTAGTTTTTTTGTTTGTTTGCATGATAGGGAAGAAAGATCGATTCTATAATCCAAAATCCGTACTGGGTGTTCTATTTGTCCTTGTTTGTTCTTTGTTCACTTTAAATATTGATGATTGTGGCCATTTATAAACAAAAATCTCTGTTTGGCCTTTCCTTTTCTTGGGGCCTTGGCTTATGTCTTTTTCTTGGTTTTTTGTTTTTTTGTATGGTTTTTGATACATCTGCTAAAAGACGCACTGAAAGTCAGTCCATATGAGAGTGTAAAGAAGGACGAGGTAGCTAAGGATGACCAGTTATCGTTGGATGTAAAGAATTTGAATTTGAATGATCAGGTTTCCAAGGATGGAAAAGCTAGCCAACTGGCACAATCATTTACATTTGATGAGCTTGCTGCTGCAACAGGCAACTTTAGATCGGATTGTTTCTTGGGTGAAGGAGGTTTCGGAAAAGTGTACAAGGGATTCTTGGAGAAAACGAACGAGGTTGGTTGAGTTTATATTGTCTTGCTGTCGATGTTGTTGAAAATTATGAATATATCTTATCAAAGCTTTGTTACTTAATTAATTGGTTTACTTAACTTAATTGTCTTATATCTCAGTTCAACTTAACAAACCTGTATTGTACTAGGTGAACCTGTATTATATCTCAGTTCTGCATTAATATTTGGTGAATTTGGTGGTTACTTTGCTGTTCCCTTTTTCCTGATGTAGGTTGTTGCTATCAAGCAACTTGATCGTAATGGTGTTCAGGGCATTAGGGAGTTTGTTGTTGAAGTACTGACATTAAGCATGGCTGAGCACCCAAATCTAGTAAAATTGATAGGGTTTTGTGCTGAGGATGAGCAGAGACTACTGGTTTATGAGTACATGCCATTAGGGTCTCTGGAGAACCACTTACATGGTAAGCAAAATCTTCTTAGCATTTCCCTGCTGATTTCGTTATTGTACTGTTTACCTTTTATGATATCTCTACCAATTATGTCATGAACTTTCTTATCGATTCTCCTCCATGGCTACAGATCTTCCACCTAGCAGAAAACCACTTGATTGGAACACGAGGATGAAAATAGCAGCTGGTGCAGCAAGGGGCTTAGAATATTTGCATGATAAAATGAAGCCGCCTGTCATATACCGTGACTTGAAATGCTCCAATATTTTGCTTGGTGAGGGATACCATCCGAAGCTATCTGATTTTGGGTTGGCCAAAGTGGGTCCCATTGGGGATAAGACTCATGTCTCTACAAGGGTTATGGGGACGTATGGATATTGTGCACCAGATTATGCAATGACTGGACAGCTGACATTTAAATCAGATATTTACAGCTTCGGGGTTGTCCTTTTGGAACTCATTACTGGTAGGAAAGCAATCGACGATACAAGAGATCGTGGGGAGCAAAATCTTGTTGCATGGGTAAGATAAAGCTTATTCCACTTTATTAATTAATGTCTTTGATGTTTCAATTGGTTATATTTCCATTTTAAGATTGTCTGTTAAAAACCATTCATCCGTCTTCACTCGTTTTGGCCTGTTTATCATATTTATTGGGATTGTTGTTCTGTTCAAAAGTGCAATAGTGATGAATCTGGTTTTATTTTGTAGTATATAATGTCAATTGATTTATTCCTCAACAAGTTTGCTGGAAGTTTCATCTATCTCCTACTTTGATATCTTCATTTTATAAGGAAATTCTGTAAAAAACTGTGGGTTAAATATTTTTGGGCAAGTGTAGTGTTTGTCCTGTGTCTTCTAGCTGATAATTTCTACTATTATATAGTAATTAAGGAACAGGTTTTAGAAGGCAAGTTAATGAAGGGAAATATGTTCCTTGGATCTGTTCTATAAATGCTTAATTGCTTGCAGGCACGGCCCATGTTCAGAGATCGGAGGAATTTTTCGCGAATGGTTGACCCTCTGCTGCAAGGTCAATACCCTGTGAGAGGTCTGTACCAAGCACTTGCCATTGCTGCAATGTGCGTTCAGGAGCAACCTAATATGCGGCCAGCTATATCCGACGTGGTTATGGCTCTGAATTACCTAGCTTCCCAGCAATATGACCCAAGAAATCCTGTTCAGAGCTCTCGTAGGGGCACTGCTTCATCGGCTGTGACCAGGGATGACGATAGAGGACCGGTTACAGATGATGAGCCTAAGAGTTACTGAGCTGGAGGACAAAATTAGAAATAAAAGAAAGTGGCAAATATTGTTCAGCGGTGTTAATACACAGTGCCTGGTTATCAATTTTTGCATCACAGAAGATAACTGGCACACTTTCCATCTTTAAATCTTCACATACAGAGAAGATTTCCTTTCTTCCTTTCCCCCCACTTCTGCTGCTGTACATGTGAGTTGGGGTCCTTGTATGTAGGATGCTTCTTTGTAGGAACCATTTTCACCTAATAATAGAGTAACCTTACTATTCACAGTGATGAGTTCCTTCCCATGTTGCTCTCATGCTTAATCCTACAATAAAAAGCGTGATTTGTTAATTTTAACTCCAAATTCCAAACTCAAGAGTCACTTTTGCATTCTTACATGTACGAAGTGAATATTCAGGATTAGCTTATATATCATCAAACGTCAGTTACGTGAAAGAAAGCAGCATTCATTCGAATCTTGGAAAGGCTTCCGCTAAGCTCCGCTGGGCTGAATTCACCCGGTTATTGCTTTCTAGTTCCGAACATTTGCTAAGATTTACTTAAATTTGTTAAGATTGACAAAGTTTTGGATTCCCACAAAGTTCTCTTCCTGTCGCATGCCAAAAGATTTCCCGCCTAAAGTCGTTAGAAGCCTAACTACCTAACCGCAAACTATAGCCTTGTTACTTCAGCTCCCTACAAGACAACACTCAAAACGTTTTCTCCAGCTCAATCTTCAGCAAATCTCTCTCTCTCTCTCGCAGCTAGAAGAAAAGCATTCTCCTGAAACATGATGAGACCTGGTCATCTTCCAGTTTCGCAACCACAGGGTAAAGTTGCCAAGAAGGAAAGAGTGGCTTCTAAGTCTCGGGTGTTTCCATTGTCAGAGAAATGGACCCATGCCATTCCCGTGGTCGTCCTACTCAGCTTCTTCATTCTCTGGTGGTTCTCTCGTCCAGGTAGCGTTGATGTTCTTCTGCAAGATTTTCAATGAAACATGCAAGCTCTCCTGTCTTTATTCTGATTTCTGTCTGTCTTGATGTTGTCCTAGATTGGGTGCATTCGTTTTCAAGAGCCCTTTTCTAGCTTTTCTTCATTTATTCCCTTTCTTGTCTATTCATTGGTGAGGAAGTTAAGTTTCTGGCTTTATTTCTTTGATGGGTTAAATTGAAGCTGGCTTTTTGCTAATAATTGTTTGATAGTCTCTCGTCTCCTGTTAATTATTATTTATTAATCTTTAGACCATTTTTTGTGTCTTGATTGTGATTACAGTGTGAGAATAAAAGTAATTAAAACTTTTACAGTCTCATTATAAGCACTTCTGTTATTAGAATTATTGCTGAATCGTCCTGTCCCCTCTGTTTCGATCTCAAGAAAAATGGCATGAAAAGGAAAGAAAATCATTAAATTGCTTAAATGATCATTCCTTTTGGTTTTTATTCACTGGATGCCTCAGAAGCCAGAATTTGTTTTGATTCTGATAGTAGTAAAATAGCTTTTGGAGTTATGCCATCTTGTTTAACTCTCAAGAGAGCTGTGATAAAGAAAAAGAAAAGGCAATTACAGACGAAACTACTTTCGTGTATCTCAAAAACTTGCTTTTGCTCAGTGTTGATTACCTCTGAATCTTTTGTTTTTGGTTTGAAAATTAAAGCAGTGACTGTGGAGATCAAGGATGGCAGAATTGTGGCCATACATCCGGTCGAAATGCCATTGTCTCTTAATACTTCTCAGATTGAACTCGCCATCCTGGTGTCTGCTACATCACCAATTGCCTCAGTCCCACAGAATCTCACAGGGAATGGAACTGAAGCACGTGTAGTGACCGAAAGTAATTGAAGAATTTGTTTCTGAAAATGGAAAACAGTTTGTAGGAATTCTCTTTTCTGTCAATGTTGTAGTTAGGATGTCAGGTGCCCCCCTTATGGAATTAGAGGTAGAACATTTTCCCTTTTGCTGTATCATGAATATGGCAAAAGAGATAGTAAGGGAACCTCCTGCAGCAAGTGATTCTGGATATCAACTGTTGTTGATTGTTTTGTATTGAATTACACATACAGACACCAACAAGAGAGAAAAGCATGCAATCATGTATGACTCATTTCATGATTAGTTGTGGGTAAATAGTTTTCTTTCCTGAGCCTGTTGGAGTATCAAAATTACATCTGATCTCTGTTCTTCTTGACACCCTTAGCGTTAAACTTATTCTTGTATGCTGAATGCCTTGGGCCATGGTGAAAAAAGAAGATAAAAAAGAAAAAGAAAAAGACCTATGAAGATCCTCTTTTCGTCTGTAATTCGTTAACCTCACCCTCTCTGCAATTTCCTACCGATAAAACCATTGTATTATTTTTCCTTGATGGGAGAACTCTGCAACAATCCCTCCTCGGCGACTGCAAAACGAAATTGGGATTCAGCTAGTAACAGCATCTGTAATTTCTTTGGACAGTGTTCTACTCAATAACATTCTGAATAGAAAAAAGAATAGAAAGTATACCTTCTGCCATCGAAGATCATCTCGTTTCTTTAGGACTACAACAGAATAAATTCTCTCAGGAGAGGCCATTCTCCAACGGCAATAACGGCTGCGTGTTTTATGGCGATAATACACCCCTATTGTCTGCTTCCTAGCACGATCATACTTGATCTTGCTCATATAGAAAACGAAAGGCTTTTGGCAAGGGTGTCTTTCGACGGGCCTAGTGTTAAATGCATAAGCAGTGTAATCAGCCCTCCGGTACCAATTAAGAAAAGTTCTAGTGGGCATCTCAAGCTCTCTGGGAGACATTACTCCCCTCAAGATTTGAACCACATAGCCCCAAGAGACTGAGATTGACCAAAATCGTTTCGAGTCATAGCAGATGGATTGCTGCATCAGACTTGCCGAGTCCTCTTTGGCAGCTTCAAGCAGGTGTGCAAGGGCTCTGGCTCGTTTCATGCCAGGGAATATAGGTTCCACTACATCTAGGTGGTGGAGTGATACCAATGGAGTCACTGGGTGGGCTCCCAGGAGGCCTAATAGTTCTCCATACACATCATACTGTACAAGCATAAGAAAAAACAAGTTACCCCCGCCTTCCAAATTCTTGAATGAAGATCAAGAAGGGCTTCCTATTCCTATCCTACTTAATAAATTTATGACTAGTTTATAATTTCATATATTTTCATTCTTTCCCATTGTGAATAGGGCAAGAGCGAAATCGAAGAGGCCGAAGTTTACCTGATGGAAGCCAAGTTCCCTGGTGAGAGGCACTCCTAGCTCAGCCATGCAAGCCTGAATCCTGTCATCACTGCCATACAATGCTGGATATCGCTGGATGCACCTATCCTGCATCTTTGCCAATTCTTTTGCCAATGGATAGCTTATTGCAAATCCACCCCCTCCAAATGCCATAGCATATGAAAAAAATATATTCTGAATATGACTCTCTGATGCACTCCCAACATAATAAAACTGTGTATGATCATACTTGGAAAGCACCCTTACCACATTGTCCGCAATAAAAACTGTATCATCATCCCCCATTACGAACCACCTGATATCCTTCATTCCAAGCTTAAGTGTCTCCGAAACAACCCTTGAAATCCTCAGTGCCGATCTAGAGCCCTGCTTGTTTGTGTACTTAAACTTGGAAGTGTCCTGAGAAACCCGAATCTCAGGCAGCCCTTCATTTCTCCTGGTCCTGACTTGCTTATCCACCCAAACTACCCCTCTAGTCTCCTTTGGCCTCCACCATACTTTTATGTACTCTTTTCTGATATCCCACAAATTTGAGGAAGCTGCGATCCCGAAAGCAATGTGTTTCAGCTCTAAGTCATATCGATGGTAACCTGGGGCTGGTTCAGGTACAGGCTCTACTTTCTTTTCCTCTGCAATTTTTTCAACTCGTGAAGAGGTGGTGGAGGAATAGTTGAAGGGTACTGCTGCTTCAATTTTTGTGGAGAGATTGGTTACATCAGGACAATCTTTGCGGTCATTGCTCAGCAGGAGATTCGAGTACAGAATGTAAAGCAAAGCCATGGCTATGAAGAAATAAATGACGATCCCTCTAAAGCTACTTTGTTGCATGCGTTGCTGCGTAGAGGTCATTTGTTGTTAAAGGGTGAAAGCTTCTTGCAATTTCTTTGTAATTTTTCTTCTTTGTTTTTGCTTTTTTGTTGTTTTTGATGATCTTGTTGTTCTTGTTCTCGTCTTGCTATTGATTCTTCCCATGTTTTCGGTTCAAAGCATGGAGAAGGAGAAGGATAGCTATAGAAATCAGCTTGGACTGAGAATTATTCGGATCTCAAGAGAAGAATTTTCGTTTTCTTACATGTACATTTTTTTTTCTTTCGATACCTACCTCTTTGCATGGGTTTGAAACTTTTACTTTTGATGGTTTGAGTAAATTTTTAATTTCCGACACAAATTATGAAAAATTGAATACGGGTATTTTTCGAATTGAAATCTTGCACAGAATCCATATAATTTATATATATATTATTAAATTTTTATACGTTTATATCTGATACATTATCTATATATAATATTTATATATTATCACTTAATCATAGTGTCAGTCTTATAAACACGTAAAAATAAAATTTTAAAAATTTTTAAAATCATAAATATTTATTTTTAAAGTGTTTAAATTTTAAATTTTTTTTATAAATGAGATATTAATATTTAATTAAATACTAATATATAAACTTTATACACCAAACATCCTCGTCAGGACTGTGGGTGTCCGAAATATGGGCTTGGAAGCCCTTAAAGGAACAAAATGGGGTGAGGGAAAAAAAGGATAGGCCCAGTTTCCTTAGCCGAATCAATGCCCAAAGCCGAAACCGAAGGATGAAAAGGGTAAGGTTTGGAGTTTGATATATGTACAAGTTTTGGGTGTTATTCACAAAGAAATAAAAATTCACCATTTTAACCTAATAATAATCAGTCTTGAAATTTATTTATTTTTTGTAAAATTCAAAGTCCATCAATAATTGTAGGCCAACCAAGCTTGTGGTTGGGAGCAAATGGGGTTTTTTAGTGGAGAGCCCAAAGTTGAAGATGATGTCTTTGGGAATTAGAACATGGGCACGTGAATAATAAATATGTTCAATTTACTCCATTTCATGCCACACATTGATAGCTAAATTTGCATATATTCTAAGAAAAAAAAAGGGTTCAAGAATCTTCTTTCATGGTTAGGATTACTAGTCGTTTTACAAATTCAGTTATTATTTAAATCTCCCCTTCAATTTGAAAGCAACTAGTGAACTAAAGCCAATTTGGATCAAGGTTCTTGTTTTCTTAAGAAAAGAAAAAATCTTTATGTTTCGAGTGACGGTGAGAATTTCTAGACCATACAATTGTTATTGAATGTTTTGTTGTGATTATTAGCTTTTTAAAATAATAAGTAAAAGATCATTGTTAGAAGTTTTTTAATAAAATAGAATGTATTAATTACGTGGATACGATTTTTACTCTTTGTAGAATTAAGACAATAACTCGTGTATATATATATACCTCAAAATCGAAACAATAAAGTGTTTACTGCTTTGGATCCTTTACACGGTAGAAAATATAAAATTTTGATTCAAATTTTTTCTTGTTCTTTAACCTCTTGTTTTGTTCTACGGCAAACAAGGAGGGAGTGATGGTGAGGACAAGCCATGCACGACCCTTTAATTTGTTTGTATGACGAACAACACACGAGACCATGATTCCCATGCCTTTTTTCTTTCTTTCCTTCATTTTTCCCAAGAAGAGAGGCAAGGGAAGTAGGACCAAGAGCAGCAAAAGTTCGATCCATCTTGAATCTTGACAGAGATGATCGGACCTACCAAGAAAAGGGCACAACTTTGTGCAACAGGCAGCGTGTGACTGTGACCTCCCACGCCAACAATCAGCATTTCAGCCGTGAGCAGATAAGGTAAGGTTACTCCAAAAGTTTTCTTCACATGTCTCTTGGGTCCTACCACATGTGGGCCTAGTGTTCTATTGATCTTATATTTTACAATTATACAATATCTACTTATTTCCCAATCAATTAACCCTAATCTTAGTTTATATTAGACCAAGTCCATGTCACCTTTTAGAAAAGTAGTTACTATTAGCCTAAACATTTTTGTCGCCAACATGATGTGTTATTTTCGTTTAGAGATGACAATGAGTATTTAATTTTCGGATATGTAGAGCAATCCGATTAATTACATATATAGTATTCGTGAATTTTATATTTGAATTTGGAATATGTTTGTGTATGAAGTTTGTTATTTGTCTTGGATTTGGATAAAAATACTTGATACTTATATCGGATTATGTTTTTATTTGGGTAGTATCAGATATTTATACCTTAAGCTCGTTTATATAATCAATTTAGAATTGCAAATAAGTAAAATTTATATTTACTTGCAAGGAGAATCGAACTCGAGCAACTAAACTTTATAATCATAAATCAAAGAGTTTTGAGAAAAATCAAGTATTTAAAGGGTAATGCTAATTATCTAATAAGGATATAGTTAGATAATAATTTTTAAATATTAATCAAGTATTTATAGAATTTAAGGATCTAAGTAAATAATAGGGTTTGAACATATATAGATATATATCTCAAAAGTATATAGTGAGTACCCATTATTCTATGCAAACTTCTTGTTATATAAGTTTTTTTTTCTTTTTTGAAAAGTTGTTGTATAAATTAATAGGAATCACTGACAAACTTATGAAGTGAATAATTATTTCAGTAAAAAAAAAAGAAAGAAATCTTCATGTGCTTCTACAACTTTTCCTGGAAAGGGGTGTGGTCATTTTCCTAGGTTCGAATCTATGAATAAATGGTGCAAAAAGAACAATAGTAGCTGGTTTACAGTAACCAGAGCAGCTGCACTATATACCTATATTTTGTGTTTCATTAATATAGCATTAAAGAATTATTAGCTAGGAAAATTCCATCAATTAATGTCTTTGGGAGTAGCCAAGGAGGCTTATTCCTCCATTGTTAGACCAAGGTCAAATTCTAACAATTGGGTTAGTAATTAATTGCATGTATATTTTTTTTAGGTCGTTGATTTGTTGAAGAAATTCAAATAATGAGTGAAAATCGTTATTCTTATTTGATTTTTTTTAATTGATCGAGGAAATATTTGAATTCAACTTTTTAAATAAAAAAATGTGGATACATTGATAGATAAATTAAATATATAAAGAAATATTTTTATTTTATTTGGTTAAACTTATCTATCTCATTCGATTTTTCCGTCCGAAATGTCTTTGGCAAAGAACAAAATAAAATATTATGTTTGGTCTCCAAATTTCTTTTAAATCAAATGGACCTACATTAAAGATACTCTTGATTATGTTTTCAAAATGAATAGGATACATCCTATATGCCAAGGCATGAAATCAATGTGAAGCTTGTTTTGAGCTTTAATATTTTTTGTTCTATTCTATTTGCGTTGGACAAAGAAGAAATTGAAAATATTATGTTTGGTTTCCAAATTGATTGTAAATCAGATGGACCTACACAATAGATAACCCTTTGAGTCTTGATTCTGTTTTCATAGTCTCAATGTTAAGCTCGTTTTCCACCTATTGTATCTTTGATATTGTACATTTCTGTAGGGTCGATCCAACGTGCAATGTAGTGCAGTAAGAATCTCCATCCACCGCAATGCAACCTTAAGTGATCGGTCCAGTGGCAATGTGGTGCGGTGAGAGTCTGAGTCCATCGCAATGCACCCTTAATCGACTTGGCCAGTGGCGGTGCAATGCGGTGAGATCAGTCTCCATCCACCACAAAGCACTCTTAACTGGCTCGTCCAATGGCGGTGCAGTGCAATGAGGGTCTCCATCGACCTCCATAGTGCACCTTTAACTGGCCCATTTAATGATGCAGTGCCATGGTAGTCTCTATCCCACATAGTAATGCACCCTTTAAATGAAAGATGATATATAAGCCAAAAAAAACAAAAAAAGCCAAGCTGAGCATGTTTTAACTTGAACAATAATGATGTATTAGATGGTAACATGTAATGCGCCGAGCCACAATAATAGACATGTTAATACTAATTGAATAAATTGCAATTTGTTCTCTCTTACAGAAGAGTTCAGGCATGCCATGAAGACGTTATCCTCCAACCACACAATTAAATCATTCTCTTTAATCAAAAATTTAGCATGCAAGCAATGGGATTCTAATCATACATTTATGATTATGATTGCAAACAAAAAGAAAAATGGATAAGCAAAGCAAGGAAATATGTAAAGAGATGGTCCTTCTTATTTAGTCATAGCCCTTTTAACTTTCATGTTGAACAGATTCCATCAAATCAAATGATGACAAAAATTTTCCAACATCCCACCACTCGATTTCCCCACATCAGCCAAGTATGCCACGTGTCCATCTATGATACCTCTAAAATGGTAGAAACCGGCCATAGTTGCTTTTTCCCTTCTCATATTGCCATTTCCTTGTCATCCTCAACAATTTGCAGTTAAGTTCGAAAAGATACTTCCTTTCCTTTTTCTAATTTGTTTTCATGATGATAAGTCTTGGAGTTATGAATTATCCTTAAAATAAAAGAAAGGAAGAAGTTTTGGCTGCTTATTTGTGTGAGTGGAGACAACCAAGACACCAAGGGAGCATTGCTTGAAGAGACCACCACTACGGTCGGGATAGTCCTGCAACTTTCAACGTGCTTCAGAAATTTGCTTCCGTTTCTGCTGATTCGGCTTTTGTTGTTATTGTTTCTTCTTTTTTGTTGCCAACCCATTTCCAGACTGTATATACCAAACCCAAAGGGATCGAGAAATCAGTATAAGGTGAGTGGTTTTATAGGGAATGTATGTATACATTTTGATAGAAAGAAAACAACTATCTTATGCTTCTTCTGAGCTTTCTTTTTAAGGAATATATATATATATATACTTCCATGATTGAGTTATAGGGATCCGAGCTGAAAAGCAAGAGCCATGTGAAATTCAGGTCCAGAGGGATGGGAAGCCAGACCTTTCCGACAATCATTCTATTCTGTTTTCCTTCCTTCCTTCCTTTTCTTGGCCTTTTTATTGCCATTAAAAAGTAGTTTCACTTCCATTGTCCTCTCGTTTTTTTTTCTTTCTGTGGTTCTTTTACATGGAACTTTTACTCTACGAGGTTTTGGTTGTTTGCTCAACTTGAGAACCGTCAGCTGTTATATCTTTGCAGAGTTTCTTTTATCAAGCAAAACAAACCAGGATCTGATTCTGAAGACTCAGCTTGATTCACTTGAGGTAGCCTCTTTCTAATTTGTTTGCTTATTTTCACATTCGAAGTTCTTTTATTCTTCTTTACTTCCAACGATTTTCCATTCCTCTCAAGAAGTTCACAGCTGTCAGCAGTTGCAGCTAGGAAAAGATCATCCAGAAAACAGGATTTTTGGTCATCATTTTTTCTTGGGGTTGTTTCTTGAAGTACTCTTCAATTCCATGTTTACTTTCTCTGAACTTAAAAGAAATCTACTTCTGGGTCTCAAGCTCTAGAATGCATGATCTTAAAACAGATTCATGACTGAAATTTCTCTGCTAAAAAATCTGTACTGAAAGTATTCTTGTTTTCCGCAACATAATTTTGTTAGGTTTTCTTTCACTCTCATGGGCCGCAAAGAGCTCTGTTTTTGGGACAGCTTTAATCAGGGAAACATCTAGATAATGTCCTAGAGCTCTGGTAAGTTAACAGGCTGTTTTTCAGAGGCTTGGCCTGGCCTGATTTTTTCCCCCTCCACATCTCCACCTAACCCACTCCCCATGACCAAACTACCCCAAAAAACATGAGGTTCTCAGACAACTTTGCGGTCACCAAACTAGAAGCTTAGCCACAAGTTGGATGAAGAAAGCAACCTGAAATGACCTGGAAGCCCCTGGTAACTTTGCGAACTGGCTTTTTATGCTTCTTTTATCACCTCATAATCCAGTTCCAAAACTTCTGTCGCCAAGCTCCTAGCCCAGTTCATTTTCATGTCCCACCACTGATGTTGACAATGAAACATTGGCATATGAGACATAGATGAAGCCATAAATTTCAACCATGTTAGAAGTATTGGATTCTTTCTGTTTTGTCTTTTTTTTTCCCCCTTCCCCACTGGAAAATATTTGCATGGATTTGAATTATAATGTGTTTTCTTTCCCTTTGCCTTGTGATGCATGACTAGACAATGTAAACTATCTAGACATAGATTTTTTTCACTATTATTTGCATTAGTTTTGGTCTTATGCAGATATGGACCCAACAGAAAAATCATCCAAGCAATCATCCTTGTTCCCACCATTGCCAAGGGACCCTCGAGGCTCGCTTGAAGTCTTCAACCCGACCACTTTCTCAACCCGACCCATCAACCCGGCATTTCGGACAGAACCCACGTGGCAAAGCTTGATAGAACCACGTGGGAGCCCGGAAGCTGACCCTTCCAAGCTAGCCTCCAAGTCGGGGCGGGTTGAAGAAATAACATCATGGATGGCACTCACGGAAAAATCGTCAGCTCCATCTCCACCACCACCACCACCACCACCATCGTCTTCACTATCACAATCACCGCTTGTTCATACGATCACCAGTGATAATGGCGGAACCGCGAGTCCCAATCCTTCGGATGAAGCCGGAGTGGCTGCGAAGAGAGCTGCGGAATGGGGGCTGGTCCTAAAAACCGACGATGAAACTGGTAAACCACAAGGAGTTGTTGTCAGGAATTCGGGTGGAGATGACCCGAACACCAAACCTGGTACTTCTCGTAGGAGCTCGAATAATTCAGTTCGGAGCTCGGAAGAATCAGACAGCGAATTCAGCAAGGAGAGAGGGTTCCCCAGAGTATCCGAGGACTTGAAGGGTGCATTGTCAACATTTCAACAAACATTCGTGGTTTCGGATGCTACCAAACCCGATTACCCTATTCTCTATGCAAGTGCCGGGTTCTTTAAGATGACTGGATACACTTCGAAGGAGGTCATAGGCAGGAACTGGTAAAGACAATTCTTTCTTTATATTTGTGTCATTAGTTTGTTTAATACTATGATTTTATTGACTGTAATAACGGTCAACGAAGGGTAATACTGACATTCTAATAAATGTTGGGTGGGTGGGTGGGTGGGGATCCAGTCGGTTTTTACAGGGTGCAGGTACGGACCCGGAAGATGTGGCGAAGATTAGGGAGCATTGCAGGCAGGGACAAATTATTGTGGGAGATTGTTGAATTATAAGAAAGATGGGACTCCTTTTTGGAATCTTCTTACTATTTCACCTATCAAGGACGAAAATGGAAAAGTCTTGAAGTTTATTGGGTGAGTTTCACTCTTTTCCTTTTATCCTTTAGACATTTGTTTTTACCACATAACATTTTTTTTTTGAAAAATAAACTCCATTTTCAGTTTTTGCGATTTTAACTTTTTTTCATATAATATATATTATAATTTTTTTTTCACAATTAGTACTCTTTGAATATCTTTCTTTTCAATTAACACCGTATGAATAATTTTTTTCCAATTTTAACATTGTGGACAACTTCTGTTCTTGTAAGGATCAGACTGTTAATATTTTCTAATAAAGTTATCAAATAAATTTCAATTCAAAATTAGCTAATTTGTTCATATTTAAAAATATTTTTATAATTTTATTATGTAAAATTAACAATACGGTTTTTCGTGGGAATAAAAATTATTCAAAGGGTGTCAATTAAAAAGAAAGATACTCACAGTGCTAATTGTGAAAAAAAAAGTATAGAATATCACGTGAGAAAATTTGAATTCAGAGAAAATGTGGGTAAAATTTACCATTTTTTTCTGTAAGCGTATGTAATGGATTACCTGTCTTTTTTTTTTTTTTGAGTTTTTGACTTTACGTTAAATAGTAAGAATACAAAAGGAAAAGTAAAATTTCTAATGCCCTTACATGTATAGAGGACCCTGTAAATACCTTGGAAAAAAATCTTTATGGGAAGTTCTGGTTTTAGATCATGGCAAGCAAAGCCTACACGTTTTCCATTGCTTGAACAGTTGTTCCTTTCACAAAGTCATATGGTCTGCCAACGTAAAGCTGTATACACAACTCATGAAATGAACACAAGCAGACCCCAGCAGTCCCATCGATACATGTGATTGCCAGGGACTAGGAAGGTTTGGTTAATTTACTGATAAACGATCTTAAAACATTTGATATATGGGATCTGTTTATCAAGGACAGAAACCCTCAAACCTAGCTAGAGTGTAGGTGCAAGGGCATATGTCCTAAAACATGTCACATGATTGCTTCACAAGACCAAGAGTGATGAGCAAGAGAAGAAAATGCACATTGTCCTTGTCCCCTTACGTGACATCGGATAATTGCAGAAAGCTTTTACTGGTTTGGCAACTGGGAGGGGCTGGCTGGCTGGCTGGCTCACATCCTTGTTTGTGGTCACCCACAAGATTCAATTCTTGGTGGTGATGGACTGTGGGGGCCCTGCTGTTTCCAACCGTCTGATTGGGTGATGGACGGTGACAGGACTGAAGAGAGGGAATGTATGTAGGATGATTAGGTAGAGGACGATATGCCACGGTGGGATGTGTATCCTCATCATTTCTGTTTGTCCTTGTGTTTGAATGATTTGGCAGAATGCAAGTGGAGGTGAGCAAGCATACAGAAGGGGCCAAGGAAAGGGCCTTGCGGCCCAATGGATTGCCAGAGTCATTGATTCGATACGATGGTATATATTCTAACATTATTCTTTTTCTCTGTTCTCGGCTACCAAGTACCCACTACTCCTCTTACATGAATTATTATGGATAACAGTAACGATGAATATATATATATATATAGTACTTGCATTATTTTTTATTTGAAGAAAGAAAATCTAACTTCAAATATATATATATATTAAATAAAAATCTTTTGTCTTCATTTGATATCACTTTTCATAATTTTACGTCATGTATGTAGTTTTATATTATTAATTAAAAATTTTATCTCTAATTCATAAATTTTAAATTATAAACCATAATATGAGAAGTTTTGTTAAATATTTAATGAAAAATTATGAAAATGACACTAAATGAAAGTAGGGAATTTTTGTTCATATATTTATTATCAAAAAGAATTGTTTAATTAATTATATATGCATGGTTCCACCCCGAAAAGTAAAGTGATACATGCATGGGGAGGCGATGTACGTATTCATTTATTTTTAGTTAAATACGCTCGAGATTTCAGGTACTATTCATTATGCAAGATTGATCTGAATTTTTGCAAATTGCATGCAATAGGTCTGAGCTCTCTATATATGAGTAGAAAAGAGTTGAAAGTTTTGAGTTGGTATCATATTTTAACACTCATTTGATCCATAAGCAACAGAAATTTGCCAGAACATGTAATCGTTGCATTCAATTTTCAATGAGATGTGACCCTTTGAGAGTTCTAACGTGGTTTAAATTCTAGCATGAATGTCATGAAGTACCTCATTCTTGTTAATGTAATGGCTTTTCGCTCTACTCAAACGCTTGGTTTGAGCAAACATTAGGCCTCTAAGAATATCTGTTGTTGCAGCCCGCCAAAAGGACATAGCTGCCGGTTCAGTAACAGAACTTGTGGAAGCAGTCAGGAAACCTCGTTCACTTAGTGAATCAACAAACCACCCTTTCATTAGAAAATCAGGTGGTGGCGGAGAGCAAGAAGGATCCGGAGGTTTGGCACGGCGAAACTCGGAAAGCATACCTCCACAAAGAAGATCTAGTGGGGGTCCTAGAATCTCAATGGAGCGTATCAGTGAGGTGCCAGAAAAGAAACAGAGAAGATCTAGTCGTCTTTCTTTCATGGGGTATGATGAAGAACTTTCTGATTGATCTCTTGGTATAGTATGAAAGCAACCATTTTACAGAGGTTCTCTTTCCATGCTCCAGGCTTATGAGGAAAAGTCAGTCTACTACTGAAAGCTTTGACAATAGTCTCCTGGTGGATGCGGATGAGGATGAGAGTGATGATGATGAGAGGCCAGACAGTGTTGATGACAAAGTTAGACAAAAGGAAATGAGGAAGGGTATTGATCTTGCCACCACACTTGAACGTATAGAGAAAAACTTTGTCATTACTGATCCAAGGCTGCCTGATAATCCCATTGTAAGACTTTGAATTCCAGCTAAATGTATAGTTTCTAATATTTAATATCAGGTCATGCAAATTTGAGGTCAATTTTTAAGAAACTAATGTTTCCACTTGGCTTAATGATCAGATCTTTGCATCTGATAGCTTCTTGGAGCTGACAGAGTACAGTCGCGAAGAAATCTTGGGCAGAAATTGCAGGTGTGCCTCAAATTCCCTATACTTGCAAATCATAACATCAAAATTTTAAGTATTTTGACCTCTCATTCCACCCTGCAAGGCTTAAAACATCAGTCTGAAGTTGAAAATTGAATTTGCAATGATGCTCTTAAACATCTGGAGGAGCTTTTGACGTGGAATTGTATAATGTTTTATTTAGTAGGATTGTTGCTGCAAAATTAGTTTGATCAGGAAGTTCCTCTCCAAATTAAGAAGTTATCTAGCAAAGTTATTATCTTTGATTGTGTGTCTTCATGTTAGTTCTAGCCAGGTGTAAGAAGCTGGTTCTTGAATCTTATGTTTGTTTATTTAATTCTGTGTTTCCTTCTTTTTATTTAACAAGCAATACCATTTCTTTCTTCAATTTGAACTGTATGCAAGAAGATAGCTTAAATAGTGTGAAAGGCAGATAAAGAATGAATTTATACCTTAGCTTTTTAAGATAAAATCAAGGTAAACAATATATTGAGTTTTATAAAAAAATGGAATTCACTTCATTTAATCTGTGCAATTGTGAAATGCTTTTAGGTTTCTCCAAGGGCCTGAAACTGATCCAGCTACTGTGAGGAAGATCCGAGAGGCAATAGATAACCAAACAGAAGTAACTGTACAGCTCATCAACTACACAAAGAGTGGTATGCTTAAAATTTCCAAGTTCTGGATTTCATATGACACCCAGAAAATGTTTCCAGAAGATGCCTAATATTCAGTTTACTGATTCATGTCATGCATGTAATGTTCTTGTCTTTCGGCGGTCCAAGGCTAAGTCTATACGTTCTTATTTATAGTGTAAATATGAAAATCTTTATCCTTCTAGTCCTGTTACTAATATTTTTGATGTTCTGGATTGTCTCTTCCTATAATGATTCAAAGCTATTTGTACACATTTCAGGCAAGAAGTTCTGGAACCTGTTCCATCTGCAGCCTATGCGTGATCAGAAGGTAAAATCCTCAAATATTCAAACTGGAAAGTAAATGCTGTATTTTGCTATGTAACTCCTTTGTTAAGCAGATCATCAAAGTCTCCTACATATGACTTTCTGGACTGATGAGCAAAACTGTCTCTGATTTATTTTGGGGTTCTATGAACAGGGAGAAGTTCAGTATTTTATCGGAGTGCAGCTAGATGGCAGTGCAAAAGTTGATCCACTTCGTAACAGTCTTCCAGATAGTGCTGCACAAGAGAGTGAACAACTGGTCTCAACTCTTTTCTCTGTCTTCCCATTTGTTTTTTCTTTTCCTGCTTTCTTAAATCCTTATGTTGTTAAATAAGTTCCTTTATTACCGTAGCATTTGGAGGCTTAAAACAATCCCTGCTTGCAGGTGAAAAAAACTGCTGAAAATGTTGATGAAGCAGTGAGGGAACTTCCAGACGCCAATATGGTAATGTTTGAATCCTAATCCACTTTTCCAGAAAAACTTTTTTTCTTACAAAAATCTTTACAACAAATTTCACTACCTGCAGAATCCAGAAGATCTATGGATGAATCATTCCAAGGTAGTTCACCCGAAACCTCACAGGAAGGATAGTCCCTCTTGGAAAGCTATTCAAAAGGTATTATTCTTTCATATTTATGTACCTGAGTCATAATTTATAAGGGACCAACATATCATTTAAAATGGTTTTGGATTCTGGGCTTAATGATGAAGAAGCATGGTGCTGAAAAGAATTTTCAGCACAAAGAACCTACATTTCCATTGTCATTCTCCATTTGTTCTTCAACTTATATCTGTCATTTTACACGAGATTGTTCCATTCTGATATCCCTTCCACGTTGAGTATATATGTGATTTTTGTGTCTCATTGCTCTTGTAATTTGTAGATTCATGACAGTGGAGAAAGGATAGGTCTAAAACATTTTAGGCCCGTAAAGCCATTGGGATCAGGCGACACTGGCAGGTTTGTCTAATTCCTTTTCTCCTGCTGTACACTCAATTTTGCTGTATAATGCATGTACTGATTCTTTCACAGAAACTTTTATATCAGCTATTTCTTTTATTGGCAGTGTGCATTTGGTGGAACTATATGGAACTGGCCTGTACTTTGCCATGAAAGCTATGGATAAAGGTGTTATGCTCAACCGGAACAAGGTATCATTGCATTGATTTTGAGTATTAATCTTCAAACCAAAAAATACCCATATAGTCATTTGTATACTAGCTAATGATAAGCCTGGAAGTGCATATAACTATTGAGCAAGGACCAGGAGAGGAGTTTTCCTTTAGTTTCGATTTTAGCTTGTTATTATCCTCTTTATTTCCCATAGTTTCACTTTCTCTTGATATCCATGTATGAAGGGCATTCTTCTTCGTTTTTGTTTACATGATGCCTTCCTTTTCTGTAGGTGCATAGAGCTTGTGCAGAAAGAGAAATTCTTGACATGTTGGATCACCCTTTTCTTCCAGCATTGTATGCATCATTTCAGGTTAGAAAACTGATATTAACTGCAGGCTTGTTTAACAAGATTAGCTAGATAATTGTCTGAAATATGATTTTCATTTTGTGTGTGAATATAAGACTTGGATCTTTTCAATTTCCTTGTACACATGAACATAAAGCTTTGATGCTTCAATATTCAATCAGACAAAACTTGCCTGCCTTATTTTTGTAAATTCATATATCTATTTCTTGATCTGTTGCTGTTAAATCTGGTCTCAATTCAACTAAATTGAAGATCATTGGAGATTAGATCCTCATTTTTTTTACTTGCTTACTGTAGATGGGAGACATGAAAATTCTAACTTTCAGATACTTTGCAGACTAAAACACATATTTGTCTGGTTACGGATTACTGTCCTGGTGGAGAACTCTTCCTGCTTTTAGACAGACAACCAATGAAGGTCATGAAGGAAGATGCAGTAAGGTAATTATCTTTTTACCACAATTAACACTACCATAACCTTGTCCAGAAATTCTCTGACTCACGGATAGAGTCATGTAACCTTATTTTGTTTTTTAAACTTTCTGGTGTTTGATACTTGTACTGGATACTAGGATCTACGAATATCATCTGACAATTTGCCTATACTCAATGATGGATTTTTTTTTTTTTTTTGCTCAATCAGAGTAAATATTCAATTAATCATCCCAAAGGGGAGAACCTGGAAGAATCCAGGAAGAACACTCAATGATGGATTTGTTTTAACCTTTCAAACCCAATTCAGCAATTTCCAGTTTGTTACCAAGTCTGATTTGGAACTAAACTTCTAAGTTTCTGTGAATGTAGATTTTATGCTGCGGAGGTTGTTGTTGCATTGGAGTACCTTCACTGTCAAGGTTGGTTGAAGTCAATTATGAACATGAACATACTTCCATGTCAATAAATCAGTTATTGAGTTATTCTGTTGCTTTTCCGACAGGAATTATATACAGAGATTTAAAGCCTGAAAATGTTCTCCTTCAGAGCAATGGACATGTGACCCTGACCGATTTTGATTTATCTTGCTTGACATCTTGCAAACCACAGGTATCTAAAGCTTTCTTTATCTTCTGGCCACTGTTTAGCTATGGGGTTTTTCCTTTATCCCCCATTTTTTTCTCTTCATCAAGAAACCTGATAAATTTTACCGCTGTTTATAGCTGCTGATTCCAACGACAGATGAAAAGAAAAAACGCCATAAAAGTCAGCAGAATCCAATCTTCATGGCAGAACCTATGCGTGCCTCAAATTCTTTTGTGGGAACTGAAGAGTACATTGCCCCGGTTAGTTTATTTTCTTAAATGTCTATACATAAATATATTTGTCTGTTTTCTGCTAAAGAAATGGTTGCAACTATAGAAATGCATTTTTCACATCAGCCATTTCTACTTTTTTTCTATTGAATGCTCATTCTCTTTCTGTTCTTTGCAGGAAATTATCTCTGGGGCAGGCCATACCAGTGCAGTGGACTGGTGGGCTTTAGGTAATTTTGTATTTTTCCTTCTAAAGCAACATAAAAAATTGGGGAAAGTGCATGTTTTCATAACCAAGTTTCCTACTAAGATCATTGTTATAATTTCCTTCCCTGTCAGACGAAGTGACTGAATAAGAACAAATGGGAAATGAGAAACCATACCTTTTTGTGCTGATTGATCAATGGGATTCTAGCTTTCAATCTAATGCAGAAGATTTTTTTTTGTTTGCTTTTGTTTTTCTGTTCCAGGCATTCTTCTGTATGAAATGCTTTATGGGTATACGCCATTCAGGGGAAAGACAAGACAGAAGACATTTGCCAATGTTCTTCAGAAAGATCTTAAATTCCCAAGAAGTATACAAGTAACTTTTCTTCTGTCTTCAAGATCTTCTCTTCTGAATCTTATTACCTTAAAGACTTAAGAATGGGTGGTAACTACAGTGCAATCCAATATGTTCTTGTCCTGAAGCGGTTCTTTTCACTTGAGCCACACGATCTTGCGGCTCATTCCAGAACCGTTGGATTTGAGATTAATTTTTATACATATTACAGATTTAACACATAATGCATGAATGAATGCAGGTAAGTCTCCATGGAAAGCAGTTGATGTACAGGTTATTACATAAAGATCCCAAAAGCAGATTAGGTTCTCGTGAAGGAGCCAGTGAAATAAAGAGACATCCATTCTTCAAAGGAGTAAATTGGGCTCTAGTCCGCTGCATGGTAAATTTCCAAATCCTTGAACCCCCATTGTGTATAAGTACATTTGTAGCATTACCATATGGTACATTTGATTCATTAAGTCGGTGAGGTATCCGAGGATGGAAGTTATAGAACGGTACAGCCTTGATAGAGGGTTATATTCATTGATGTTTGGTTTGGCGGCCCCCTCCTACCAAAGATGAAGTCCAGTTACCATTGTTACAGTAAAGCAAAGCTGCTGTTGTTTTTCTGAACGAATAAACAAAGCTGCATATTGTAAACTGATATGAGTAGTTGTGTCTTTTTTCACACCAATTCCCCCATTCCCCTTTGTCTGTTTTGTTATTAGAATTTACTTCGTTGACATTTCTTTAATGCCCAGAATCCACCTGAGCTTGAAGTCCCTCTCTTTGCAACTGAAGCTGGGAAGGAAGACAAAGTTGTGGACCCTGAACTACAGGATTTGCAGACAAATGTTTTCTGAGAGGTTTGCATTCTAGGATCCTTCATTCTCAAAACGCATTATGAACAACAAATTTCTCTGCTACCATGAAGTTCATATTGTCAAGGAAACACCATCAGAGGCTCTGGTTAGCTCCTAGTTTGGCTGAGGATCAGTAGTTTTACAGCCAGGAAGTTGATTGCAAGAGGGAAGTTTTTTTGATTGTGTGTTCTGTAATATTCTTTCTATTTTTGGATTAATTATATATGCTGGATGTAATCTTCTGTAATCTATGTTTGGTTGGTAAATAATTATCAGTTTGTTTTACTCTCTCTGCCTAATATCCTTGTCTTCTAGATTCCTAAGCTACATACCCCTTTTTGTGTATGTCATACTTCATTTTCTCAACTGTTTTGAAACCCCACTGCCCCATCTATTGCCATACATCACTTTCCTTCATGTCCCTTAATTTGATGACAATGGTTTTATTGTTGAGAAAGGACAATTTAAACTTCTAGCTGATACACCAAGTAACTTTGATTATTTCACCTCCTCAAATAATCCAATATTGCTCCCAACTAGTGTATGTTAAAATTACTGCTACGTACAGCTGTCAGAGTCGAGTAACTTAAAACGTATGGTGTGCAGCTTTAAAGTCGAAACGAGGCTAAACAAGACTTCACAAAATCAATCAAGAACACTTTGTCATGAAATTTCTATTTTTCCTTTCTGTAAAACGTTTGACTGTGATATGTAATATCTATCTATCTCTTAACTTTCAACAGTTTCAATCTGCCAGCTTCTTGTCCACAACCTCCTGGTCACCACACCAAGCTCACTGCGCAAAATTTCACCACTTGAATGCATATTTGTGGGTGGAGACTCACCTTCGATTAGATGTACCAAATGAAATAATGACTTGACATGTTCACTCACCCACCTTTAATCTCACTTTCTTCTCTTGTAAAAGCATATAATGAGTTTTTTTCTCTTCTTTTATTTTACTACTACTGCCTAGATACATGTAAAGTCTAGTAATCTGTAGTTGTAAAGAAATAAAGCTAAAAAGTAAAGTAGAAACATTGTCTTCTCATCTTTGTTTCTTGAATTGCATTATACATGAATTTGGCAGCAAAGGACTATTGACTCCCAAGGTTTATTGCATGATTCTGGGAAGAAATGCCATGTGTACTTACCTCCATGTGCAATCCATTCCGCACAAGAACCATGAAGCCAAGGGCAATCATACACTTTGATACAGTGATCTAATAAAGATGACATAAAGTTGAAGGTAGATCGAAGGATAAGCCAGTTGACAGTTGTTATGTTGGGAAAGCAGCAACAGTGTTCATGTTAGGATGAACTCATTTATCTACTGTGTAATTCTAAACTTGAAAATATATAATAATAAAATATGTAAAAAAACTCAAAATTCTTTTCATGAATGTCGAATAAAATTCATTAATCTTGTAATCTCGGGCTCAGAGAATCTGAAATAGTATTGATATAGAATATGGTCGTTAAGTTATGGAACATCAAATGAAGGCAATCATAGCATGAATCAATCATGCTAATCAGATCATTTCAAGTTCCATAAAAGAAAAACCATGTTATTTAACAGTTTCTGGGCTAATGATCTTTCCTTTTGCTTTTTCTTTTCCTTCCATGGGTCCCCATGATCAATCACAGAAGGAAATCACGTGCTCACACGTGCAGGCAGTAATCTCTCCCTCCAATTTTCTTAAAAATAGAAACCGTTTGTTTATATTTCTAGGTTATAGGCGAAAAAGGCATAATTAGCATCAACATTTGCCTCTTAACACTCTTTTGCACTGCTTTACAGGGCCACATCGTCTCCCTCCAATTACAGATCCAAAGGTTTCCACTTCTTGGATTCTTTCTCTCTCTACTTTCCCATCTCGACTTTCCCAGAAGAAAGGAACAGAAGAAAAGAAGAAGAAGAAGCTTTTCTTCTTCTCTCTCCATCTTTCTTCTTATTTGCAAGAAAATCCCACTCTATTCCCTGGTTTGCCGTCTTGCGAAGAAATCAATTCTAATATCTTGATTCTAAGAGATACCCAGTTTTTGTTTTTTGATATTCTTTTCAAAGAAAGCTTCTTCTTTTTAAATCAATGGCATCAAGCTAGTTCTTTTCTTTTTGAATCCAAGCAAAACCCAGTATTTGTCTGTTCATATTCTATATAGGAAAAGCCTTCTTTTTGTTTGCTTTTGTTTCTCATGGCTTCTAGGGAAGTATCAACGATGATAAAACAAGGCTTTATTTCGGATCCAACATTTTCTTTATCTTTCTCTCCATCAAGAACAACTCCCACAACAACTCTCTCAAGACTATACTCTCCTGCCTCTCCCTCCGCCTCCTCCGCCTCCTCCTCCAACTGTTTCAACTCGCCCGAATCACAACCCCACCCTGTTTGAATGATGTCTGAGGAACACCTCCGGGATTCCAAAACCATCGAAGAATCTCGCAGAAAGACTAACCGAGTTGCTAAATTCCTCACTGAACTCAAAATTTGTAGCTTTACAGCTGGGGGCTGGGATCAGTGATGTGAGGCTCACAGTAGTCTCTAGAGATGGCTATAGAGTGTCAATGGATGTGCACAGAAGAGTTTTGTCTGAGAAAGTAGGTTCTTTGCTGAGAAGTTGAGTCAAGGGAGAGAGAAAGGAGTTTCTCATACAGTGGAAATCAGTGAATGTGATGATGTGGAGGTTTATGTGGAAACGGTGGTTTTGATGTATTGTGATGATTTAAAGAAGAGGTTGATTGGTGAAGATGTTAACAAAGTCTTGGCTTTGCTTAAGGTATTATTCATTTTAATTCTAGTTCATTTTGCTTTCACAATAAGTTTTTAGTTGATGTTAATTCTTAAGTTTGGTTAATTAGAGGTTTTCTGATTTATATTTTTTATGTTTAACGAGTCAAAAGAATCATATTTAAGAACCTTAACGAATGTTCGCAGGATCTATAGTAGAGATCAAATGTTTACTGTACTATTTGTTGATTGTTTTGTTTAACCAAAGGTTTGTAAGTCTCTTTTGTTTTGTTTTGTTTTAGTTCATGCAAATTCCTTTGAGCTATAGCCTTGCTGCTTAAGTTTGTATTACTTTGGGGAGTCTGGTAGATGAGTTGTTTTCACCAAGATCAAATGCAATGGGATTTAGTTATGATGGACGGTGGTCAAATTTATCATTGATAGGTTTGGAATGGATGTCTGTTTTTTGGCCAAACTTTTCCTCCCGTTTGTCCCAGAAGAGAATTATAAAAATATTCTGTCATTTGTACTTTACATTGTTTGCCTTGTACCTAACCCCAGCTTAATTAAGATTAAGGCATCTTTAGATGTTGAATTTTGTTATTTGTCTGTCAGAACTTAACTCAAAATGTAGCTTGTACTTTTTGCCTTGTTTGGAACAAACATCTTTTCTTTTCCTCCTCTAGAAGCATGCTGAGTGACATCAAATCAAATATTTTGTTTGTATTTTCTTGGAAACCTGGTAAAGAAGGTTTAAAGAAAACTAAATTTGAGTGCATTTTCCAATCCTTCCATTTTGCATGACAACTCATCACTTTCCTTCCCTATAACTTAATCCACATTCCACAGAATTTTCTTTCATTAACAAAATAGTGTTCATAAAAGGATCTTGCTTTGCATCTCAGTAGCTTATATCGTCATCAGTGTGACAGAAATTTTTCTTCTTATTTCTGCTGTAGTGAAGCATTTGTAATATTAGTGTTTGTTTTAGGTCTCTGCGGCCATTATGTTTGATGCAGGAATTAGCTCTTGCTTGGAGTATTTGGAAGCTGTCCCATGGTCTGAGGAGGAAGAGGAGAAAGTCATATCTCATCTCAGCCAGCTTGAGCTTCATAGCTCAATGACTGAGGTTCTTCAGAGAGTATCATCTGAACCATCCACTTCTGCAAGAGCTGATGACATCTTCTTGCAGCTACTTAGTGGTGTTCTTCAAGCCAAGGATGATAAAGCACGTCGAGAAATGAAAACTCTTATTTCACGGTTACTTAGAGAAGATTCATTTGATGATGACCATCGGCTTGATGTCTCCAAAGAGACCCTTTATCATCTCTGCCACAGATGTCTTAGTTCTCTTGTCCTCTGCTTATCTGAAGCTACAGGCATGGACAATAGCAGGCGAGATCGAGGGGTTTTAATGGCTGACATAGCTCAAGAAGCTGACAATTTGCAGTGGATTGTTGATATCCTAATTGACAAAAGAATGGCAAATGACTTTGTGAAATTATGGGCAGACCAGAGGGAACTTGCAGCCCTTCATTCAAAGATTCCCATTATGTACCGGCATGAAATCAGCAGAATCACTGCTCAACTATGTATCGCAATTGGTAGAGGAAACATCTTGGTGCCAAAAGATAGCCGGTTCTCTTTGCTGTCGACATGGTTGGAAGCTCTTTATGAAGACTTTGGATGGATGAGAAGGGCTTCTAGATCTGTAGATAAGAAACTAGTGGAGGATGGACTCAGCAAGACAATTCTTACCCTTTCTTTGAGGCAACAGCAGGTTATCTTGCTCAGTTGGTTTGATCGATTTCTCAATAAAGGGGATGACTGTCCCAATATCCAGTCAGCATTTGAAGTTTGGTGGAGAAGAGCTTTCATCAGACAGTACACTGATGTGCAGGATAGTTCCCAGTTGCAAATTACCGTTTGCAGTTATCCAACCTGAATGCTATGCCAGTAAAAGTTAAAGCCAAGTATGTATATACGAAGTGACATTCTTTTGTAATTTTTCAGCTTATCTCCATTTTTTTGTTTTCCTTCAGTCCATAGGAAAATCTGTGTTCTTTTTCTGAAGCTTTTATCTTCCATAGCTGGGGCCAGAGGTGATGTATGGTAAGAACATTGGTGTATGGAAATGAAAACGATTTGACTCATTAGAAATTGTTGAAATGCCATTTCTTTTATATGGCTAGAAAACTTGTAACAAATCTTGATCCAAGTTCAGGCTTCTTTTACATGAGCACAGCACGTTCAAGAACTTGATTGAATCGCACGTACACAACATTTGAGAACTGCCTGCAGCATCTATTATATGGCAACCACAGGCAAGTCGCCAAGAGATTGCCCTACTTACAAGATATTCCAATCATAGAGGAAACAGTTAAGGGTCCCTATATTTCACATTTGATGAGATTCTTGGGACTTTTTAATAAGATAAATGCAATCAGTCTCTCTTCTCTGATCAGAGAAAGTGCCATGTTGAACAGCATTCGTGATTAGAAGCCAGCCAGCTTCCAGGAAACGAGAAAGTGCAAAACTTTCACTCAAATGCTACAGCCCTCTGACCATGCTGGTGCCTGTCAGGGGAAAAAAGATGTTGGGGGGGGGCCGGGTGCGGCCGCGTTTTCTTCTTTTGACATCTTGCAACTCTGAATGGATGATGCTGATGCATAATCAACATACTGTTGACTGCACAAATTTCCGCTTGATAATTTCCAAAATGATGATGAACTCAAGATAAAACTGGATCTGGTCCATATCGTAGCATAGGAGGTGGATCAACTCTGCGAAGGAAAATTAATAAACACTTCTTAAAAACCCATGGAAGTTAAGAAAAATCTTCTCTAACAAAACATTATGTTCAGTAAATGCAGGGGCTTAATTAACAATATGACACCCATTTTCAGTGATCCTCATAAGAACATGCAATTCCAAGCATGCAAACTTGTATCTTTAAAGTGTGAAAGAGCATCAGTCCATCATTACTTCTAACCTCCAGGTTATCGACAACCCCAACAGAAAAGTTAGATGGCATCCACACAATGCTGACAAGAATTAGTAAGTAGGTTACTGGCAAAGTCATCATAGGAGCAATTATGATTAAATGTCAAACCAAAACAGGAGAGATCTGCAGATTATAGTAGGTTCGCGATTTGTTAAAGAAGCAGCAAGAGGAAGAACGTTTGAGAAAGTAATTTCTCCATAAGAAGGGATGCTCAAACAGTCTGCACAAGGCAGCACCAGATTACTCAAATCATTCTTTTTAGGTTAAATGGGAAAGATTTAAGGATTACATTCGAGCTGTGTTGTTACCAAAGCACCACAATTGGAAACTTCAGTAGTTTATTTCTCCACCAGCAGGAAATACAAAAATTAACACATAGCTACACCAATTCCTCAAAACTCATTCTTGTCAGATAAGTTCGTATCTGTCTGCACTAGAAAGTCAGCCATCAACTGTAATTTATGCTCATAGAACAATATGCAAGGCAATGCATATTTCTTGGATATTGAATCTATTGCAAAGGACAGCAGTGATGGAACATGTGAAAAAGAGACACAAGACTTTTATAACAAACATCAAGACTTTTGATTAAAACAGTACTGAATTTCAGTATGGCAACAAGCAGTCAAGAGAATCAGTAATAACCAGAGGCCAGAAACTTGGAACATTCTAAACCGACTTCGTCAGTCTTCAATAATTCAAATTACTTCTCCACAAATAAATTTAATTTATTGATGGATCGCCCAGTGAAAAGTATAAATAATAATAGGGCAACAAAACAGATTATTAGAAAATGTATTGCATGCTTACCTCTGTATAACTTTGAGTATTCCAGTGCCTATCTGCATTGGGATGCCCATGATGATGCACTCAGTAACTCCCTCAATCTTGTCATCCCTCCCGTTAACAGCAGCATTGAAAAGATGATCAGCTGTCCTCTCAAATGAAGCCAGCATCAATATACTCTTGTCCATTTTTTGGATTCCAAATCTTGTGATGCCAAGAACTTCCCCCTGATACAATAATAATGTAAATGCAGTTATATATTGTCCTAAAAAAATTATGTACAGAAAACCAGAGGTTCAAAACATAATCTAGATTTTCATTATAGGAAAGAAAAATGGAAAAGAAAAACTAATTTTCATTTTTAGTTTCCAAGTGACAACAGGCAATGAATGTCAACGAAAAACCAACCCTAAATGTCATCACATCTGCTAGAAGCATCATATGGCGTCTGTCTATGGTCATTCCATGATGTTCCATAGTTTGTGCTATCTCATCGATTATGCATTTTCTTGCAGCTTCAATTCCCAATATCTGCTCCATTTCCATTACATGGTTACTCCATGTGCTCCGTCCATCAATTCCTTCAATGCCCATAACTGCTTGGAGCCCCGTGCTGAGAACATGAACAAGACATTTCTAACAGTTAGGAAGAAGTAGCTCTCAAAAAGTAGAAAATGGTGAAGGATGCAATAATTTTTGTAACAACAATAAACATCACACAAACGAAACGTGTTTGAAGAACTATCCATCAACATGTTAAATTCCATTTTTCTGCTTTCATCTCCTTCCATACCCTTTCATTTTGCTGCTGGAATTTAATTGTTCCATCACTTAACTCAGATTGTAAAAGTCTATATTCCTTCATCAGATTCAATTTGTACATCCAATGCCTCATTGAGCTCAAGGTAATTACACAGAAGTACACCACATCAAGCAGCTCCCTGTTATAGCCCTATTTCTCCTAATCATAAGAAACCTTATTTTCTTCTTTTGCACTTTGTGTTGTTTTTTCTACTGTATTCCTTTCTTTCCCCAGTTCCCTTGTCTTAGTAATGAGCAAGTGACTTTTTTTTTTTTTTAAATTCCTGCAGTTCTTTTTTCTTTTTGAGATAAAAATATAATCCTCACCCTTCCCCAGGAGTGGGTGATGGGCAAGGCTAACTTCAATTACGTTGTAAGTTACAAAAGAAATATAAATCAGACATGATTGCCAAAATAAGTTAGCATCGATTTCTATCCATCATTTTATCCAAAATATACTATTTTATGGTATGCATACAGCACAAGTTGCAGGTTTGAGGCACATTAAAACTACTTCAAAGAGACAAACAGGGCAATTAGTTTTAATCACAGCAACAACAGAATGAAACCTGTGGAATCTAGCAAAAACCATACTAACCCTTCTACAAGCAACTGGAAATGCTTCGTTGTCTCTCCTTCTTTCTGATTTTTCTTCTCTTTGTTCTTGTCATAAACAACAGTGCGTTCAACAGTTTTTATGCCCTATCACCCACGGACATTGAAATAAGCACATGTATTCTCTCAACATCTCCAATCACAAAGATAAACTAAAGCCTCACCTTTACCACAACCAGTGGAAGCAGATTTTTAAGAGAATGAAGTTCAAAATGAATTTGACTTCTATCAGCTGGAGGAACAACTTCCAATTTTCTACCATCCAAAACCTTCACATGCTGCAGAGTAACATAACAGGAGATGTTAAGAATCCAGAGTGACAGTGTCAAGACCATAAATAAGAAATCTGACCTGCTCCTTTAGTTTAATTTTCGGAGTTTGCAAAATTGATTCTTTCACAATATTTGCATCTATATACAATTCTGCATCTAGGATTATTTCCATGTCAAGGGTGATAACAACTGATGCTGATCTTGAAGTAATTACAATCTTGATGCTCTTAGCAACCTACATTACAAGAAGATAGTCAACTATGAAAACAAATAAACCATATGAGAACAAGTAGACAATAGAAACAGCATTGCTTTTTGTTTTTATGAGATCATAAACAATGGAAGAAGAATCCAACAGCTAAAGGTCCAAGACCTCAAGACATCCATGACGTATAATATGTTCTGAACAGAATAAATTAAGTGATAGATGTCACAAGATCCACGACTACATAAATTATAATCCAACTGATGAATAAATATTCAGAAGTTATAACAAGAAGAAAGATGGAAAACAAGACAACCATAATTCTTCTGAATAGATTATTTCATACCTGCCCTAGAACGGTTTTCTCAATTCGACCTTTTACTATTCGTGCAATGTTCGGATTATCATCAAACTCAAGTTCTGCAGTAATTACGGGAGTACTAATGTTTTTGGCTGCATTTATGATTTCTTTGATACGAGGAACTCCTTGTGTAATATCTAAAACAATGTTGAGGAATCACACTAACAAACCTTTTAAAAAGACCCAAAGCGACATTAATTAACAAGAAGGGCATAAAGAATAATAAAATCAATGAACAAGGATACTCATGCTTGCAACTCCAGCAAAGTGAAATGTCTTCAGCGTCATCTGTGTCCCAGGTTCACCAATACTCTGAGCTCCAATAGCTCCAACGGCAGTTCCAGCTTCAATTACTTTAGAGCGATAACGGGAAATGCAAGTATTAACAAAAACCTATTACGTTGTAAAACAAAGACTATCATTAGAGGCTGCCATATTTTACTAATCATGTAATAACAAGAAAAATACGTTAAGAGGGCTGGAGTATCAGAGCATTTAAATACAAGAACGGATGAGATCAACCCATGGTATGGATATTACTCCCTCCATCAGATAATCAAGTTCCCTTCAGAAAACCAAAAACTTCAAGAAATTCAAATTTCAAAATTCTCATTCCAAAACTATCCACTTAATAAATGAAGTGTAAAGGTACAAATTGCTATGTGGTTTTTGAAGGTAATTTTGGAAAATGAAATAATAATTCTATGTACTGGAAGGTTGATTTTGGGACAGCTAAATATGAACAAATGTGCTTATTCATCATGGCACAAGGAAGGACATACATGTGTGTCTGTACATACGCATGCACAAACATATTCACAATAATTCATGCATGCATTACTCTTACCTAAGGTCTTTTTTTACCACGCCATAGTATATATGATATATATACACATACACACACACACACACACACCACAACACAACCACTCTGTGGTTGGCATGAGGAGACACAAGCAACAGAAAACAGGACAACGCATGAAGGAATTATTTACACAATGGCAATAGTTACCTCCAACTGCCTGTCAGATATACCAGATATTTTATGGCCAACTTTCTCAAGTATCTCACTCTTCTGTGCACAATTGTTAACCAATTTCATTACTCTGTCTAGTTCATTCGTCTGACTTTTAAGGAACCCTTTCAGAGATTTTTTGAAGGCTTCAGAGCAAACCCCAGCAGGATCATGTTTAGCAAGCTGCTCTTCTAACATTTGCATAATAGAACCAGCGTGTAAGTATTTCTGTTCTATTGTAGGACAGGTAGCCTGTAGATGGACATCAAACAACATAGTCAAGTTCATCCACCCCACCAATTACAATATTTACAAAACGTGCTGAGCGGGACAGGGTTCCACACCTTTACTTTCATTAACAATCTGTCAAAATTCAGAGGAAATCCACTTTTTCCCTCCATATATGCAGGATCCATGCCGTCATCTCCATAAATAAATTGAACTATACATCCACTTGCATTGCGAACAGTGTTATCATAATGAATGCTCAAGTCCTCCAATGCTTTGATCAGTCTGCGAGACATGTATCCTGTCTCAGCTGTTTTTACCTGCAACAGTCAAAATGAGTCAACAATACTTATTTGAGCCCAACCATACCTCTCTTTCAATCAATGAGAATTTATTTCAACTCTTCAGATATAGGTATATTAGTACCAGTACTGGATTACAACAATTCCATAAGATAATTCTGAATGCCCCAATATGATGCTGAATTAAAATAAACATCTTACAGTAGATATGATATGGAATAAACAAATTCAAAACCTGAAGCAGATTATTGCTTTCAACTTGTATCAGTAATAAAATACCAAAACCAAAGCCAGATGTAATCAAATTAAAACAATAGTTCAATCAAGTAATAATTCAGGTCTATGTCCATAACTGAAAATACATAATAGATAGATTTTTCCATAGAGTAAGAGATCAATCTAGTAGTCCCCACTAGTGAAATAGTCCCTCCATCCAAATTTACAGGTACATGCTGAAATTGCAGAAAGTTTAAGATGATTGGCTTAAAATGCATGTACTCAAGTTTAAGATGTTTTATCTTTGTAGTTGTCTACATTTAAAATAAAGGGAAGCATTGTTAAAAAAAAAAATCATAAGTGATTGTCTACTTTTAGCAGTGAACCAAAATTTTGGGAAAGTGGTCCAGGCCAGAATGTAATTAAGCACAAATAAGCACACAAACACATGTACAAACGGCCCACAATATAAAACTACACCAAAACAGATTTCCTCACAACAATTTCTATGAACAAAACTTTAAAGGACATAAAAAAGAAGTGAAAAGAGATCATTTGTACAGCTGTATCCACAAGGCCTTCTCGCCCACCCATCGTGTGAAAGAAAAACTCTGTAGCCGTCAAACCACTGTAGAATGAATTTGCAACAAAGCCTTTAGCCTGCAAAAAATCACAAACTTATACGCTCAGAACTTCATCATGTTTCATCAAAATCTCCAATATTGTTTTATGAGAAGATGCAAGACAAACAATTCCATGAATACCCAGATTTGTCAATTGTCATCAAAATTTTCAATGTGGTTTTATGAGATGAAGAAATACAAAAAGCATCTTCTTTCAAAATTTATCACCTCAATCTATCTTTGCTGTTCAAAGCCATATAAGGTGGCGTTTGGTACTTTACAATGCAATATGATTATAGGTAATTTGATTGCAAGCAATGTGATTGGAGAAAATATAGCATTACAGTGTTTAGTATACAAGCAAAATAATGATTAAAATACAGAAAAAATAATATTGTAGCGTTTGATTTACAAGTACTTTGCTTCGAATGTAATGTAATTTTCAAAATTACCCTCATTTATTAAAATGTAAGTTTTATATACTTGTATTTTTTATTGTTAATTTTTATATAATATCATCTCTTACATATATTTTTAATGTCATATATTTTATTTTCATTTTTTAGTATAATCTTATATATTTTATTTTAATTTCTTTAATATAATTTTTTATATTATATATTTTATTTTAATTTCTTTTACATATATTATATAAATTTTAATTTCTTATATTTTATTTAATTTTAGTTTCTAATTCTTATGTTATATTTTATTTTAATTTTTTTATTTTAATTATAACATTACAAAAAACTTTTAGCAAAGTAATAAAGTTGAAGCGTAAAAATATCTTTGATACACATTACATCTCTTAACAGCGGTCTGTTGCAAAACAAACACTGCAATGTAATTTAATCGGATTCATTGCAGAGAATGTACTCTCACTTCACTCATACCAAACGCTACCTAAATGCAATGATCATTTTAAATATATTTATCTCAATTTCGGAGAATGCTGATGGTATGCTGCCATGTATTACTAAATCTACAAAAGGATAAAATATGCCGAATTGTGCATTCACCTAATATAGGGGAAATAAATTCATCTTTTGGATAAAAAACCACAACATGAATAAAGAATAATCATCTTGCAACACTGCATTTCACTGCTATGCATTCATAGGCCTTTCATTTCAAGAAAATCCTACAATTACATAGCATAGATTTGGAGAATATGCAGCAGACTTAGGGTCTATTTGGTAACCCGAAAATAACTTTCTACGGGAAAAATTTTTCTATGTAAAATATTTTACAGGAAAATTTAATGTTTTCTATTATTTGGATAAACTATATAAAGCATTTTTTGTTGTTTGGATCATCCTGTGAAAAATATTTTCTGCCATCACTATGAAAAATATTTTCTACCATCCTATTTATAAATAGGAGTTGATTACAAAACAATGGTGCTGTTTGGTTTTCACTAATTTAGAATCAAAATTAGGAATAAAAATGAAAATGGGCAAAATCAATAATGATATTTTCAAAAACATTTAATCACACATTAGTAATGAAAGTAAGCTATATAAAGAAAACTTCAAAAAATTTTCCATCTCATCACTTTTATACCATAACACTATAAAAATATCAATATTCATCAATAGTGTACAACATCCAAAAATATACTTATAAATGTATATTCATCAAATGACGATCATTAAAATATTTTCTATTATAATCATTAGTAACATTTATTCAATTTATAAATAAAAATTTTAATTGCATTGAATGATTTCATTAAAAGAAATATTTTTTAATTATAATAGCATTGAATAATTTAAATATTAATATTTTATTTTTTTAATATTTTAAGTTAAATATTCATCAAACTTATACTCCTAGGCTTAATATAAGAGTTTTTTTTTTTTTTTTGTTCTCTGGAAAGTGTCTTACGCCCCTTAAGGGAGTAAGACATTTTACGTGGCCAATGGGTGTTTTTCCTGTTGAATCATAAAATATTTTACATTTAGAATAAATTTTGTGTCTTCCAAACAAGCATAAGTCCTAAAAATATTTTCCCGAAAATATTTTATGTCAAAACAAACAGACCCTTGAATACACTTTGATTATTCAGGTTTTTTATTTGGCAGAAATGGTTTGAAGTATAGAACTCAAACAGGTGGTGGAAAGTATAAGTATTGATATAGCTTTGCTGGAAGCAGAGGATTAAGTTGCAGGAATGATCTGGATAGCAGCTTTCATTATAGGTTACCAGGTTGTTCACTTAACGGTTGTTGAAGGGTCTCAAGGCTATGAATAGATTCAGGTGTTTGGAGAATGAGGAAACCAAGGCTAAGTTGGAGTTAATTCAACTATCACAGTAGCAGGGATAAAATAAAGATATATTTGATAACAGAAAACCACTGTAAGAAGGGGTTGCCCAGCAACTACACTGCCTCAAGCCCCAAATATCCTAACTAGCTCATAGTTTCATAAAAGCCTAAAAATGCATACAGAATGAAACTATTCCTTACACTAGATCCAGAATGTAATTAGTCACCAGCCAACTAACTTAAAGGGAACAAACACAGAGAATCAAACCCTAGAATCCCTATGCTAGAGACATCAAAAAAGTTAGAAATTATATTCCATCTTATACGCATATCAACTTAACACAAGCTATTCCAAATAACAATGACATGTTAATATAATACAGGATATCATGAGAAATAATACTCTGAGAAGTATTAAATCTTTTTCCTTGTTTTATTTCAAAGACACTAAAATCAATCTCTAAGCATAAGTTCTTGCACAATTAACAAAGAAAATTAGGTTCTCAGAGCTAAAAAAATGTAAAATAAACTTACAGCAGGGGTTTTCGATCCTCTATGAAAATGAGGAAGGCTACGATCTATGAATCCATTAGGAGCACGACGACCACCAACTGACTGCTGACCAACACATGCAATCATTTGACTTATATTTATAGCAGAACCCTTGGAACCACATTGCGACATGATCAATGGACTGTTTCTCCAATGTAGTTCTTTCATGCATACCTGTTTCAAAGCAATTCTCATAAACCATCAACAAAATAGTCAAGTAATCATCATTCCAAAAACAAATGCATAGTTCCACATGTATGGAAGATGATATAAACACAAAAGATTAAAGGAACACAACTAAGTTTTCTAGCAGTGACCATTTAACACGTTCAAATAGAAATTAGAATACACTACAACATAGCCCCAATCATTACCTTCCCCGTTTTGTCCCGAATTTTATTCAATATTGCAGTTACATTAGCTTCTAGTGTTTGAGCAGCATCACAACCAGGTTTAGGCTCTAGTTTTCCTTCATTGAACATCTGTATCTCTTCATCACATTTCTTATAATCTCCGGAAATTGTTACTGCTTTCTCATCATTCAACCTTTTCCCCGGTTGGACATCATCAATTCCAATTGAAAAGCCGTGATTCCCTATCCATCGAGCACTGCATAGAAGCATATAAAGATAAAATATTTTAACAGAAGAACAAAGAGAATACGAAATCAAATTAAGACCTGAAATTACATTAAACGCAACAGAATAAATTGGAAAGTGAAAAAAGATTCTGCAGAAACAGGAACATGTATCATTCATGTGACTGCTATAAACAATACGAAATCCATGTTATATCAGGCTAGACTAAGATTTTAAAGAAAATTTTTCACGAAAAAGAATGGAAAAATTATGAACTTGCCCTCACAAAAACATGAAGTACTTGCATTAGCATGGAGTCATTCAAACAACCAAAATGTTCACATATGAACTTAAGAAACGATGACAGATGAAATTTGGCAACCAAAATCTTATTATGATTGGTTACCTCAGTTTAGCTAGCCGATTCATGCAGGCAGCAGCAGCATGTGCATTGTAGTCCCTGAGAAGAACAGAATAAAGTCCATCCTTGTTGCCATTTCCTGGATTCATTTTGGAGGATATAAGAAATTGAAAATGTCAAGAGCCTAACCTGAAAATTATTGTTCTTTTGTCCACATAAGTCAAGCCAAAGAGCATTTCCAGAATGTTAAAAAAAAATAAAATTAAAATTAAGCAGTTAACAAACTTCGAAAACAACAATTAATGTCTTACATTAACTATTGGCATCCGAAACAATCCAAACAGATAGAATATGAACAATGCTTAGAATGGTCACTGGAGACTATTCTACTGGGTTTCAGCCTGTGTTTAGTTCATCACAGAAGAGTTCAACAGAGTGTGGGCCCCGTAACCTACTATAAACCCATAATAGGAAGGGGGAATCATAAATAGGCTAGACACTACATCCAGTCCTAATCCTAAAGCAATTAGTAAAACCTAAGTTTGCCCCATTAAGAGCCACCCTAAACCCCATCAAGCTCTAAACTCGTGATCATGTAAAAGTGGCCATACAAGCCAATAGGACTCATTTCAAATATATCAAACAAGAGCAAGAAAGCAGCTCTATCATACACTGTACACAGAGGAAACCAGAAAACAGCAGAAGAAAATAAGAAAGATAGATAAGAATAAGCTCCTCCACATCTATGGGCAACTAACAGTGTCTGTGTGTGACAGGCTTTCTTCCTTTCTAATTCTAAGGAACAAACTGAAAGGAACAAAGCAATTATAGTTAACATAAAAGTTTAGCCATGGTGAGTAATAGATTAAAAAATGGAAAATCTCAAATAAAAATATGCTCTAGAGAATGTCTAACACAAATTATATTCTCTTAATTTCACCTAACCAAAAGAATGATAGAAACTTTGGAACAAGAACTGTATTCTCTTCTTTCAGCATGCAGTTTTGGTCTAATTTTTTATTGAGTAACATACAAAATCAAAATTACAAAGTGACAGATTTATCTCACCCTGATGATACTAGATGTAGCTGGTATCTCTCAAGTCTCATGATTATTAAACTAATCTACGAGATGCTTTGCCAATGCCCATTTCTATGACTCAATAGAAAACCTAACAAATGAGAATCATATTTGAGGATAACAAATTAAAAGAACATGAGATTATTGATTACATGCTGAACATGTAGGAAAAACTAAGAAATAAGCAAAACCTCACCTAAAGTAGCCTTCCCCAGTTGCCCACATATAAGCTCACTATTCCGAATATAGACAAATCCGTCGTCAGGGCACATTGTTTCTACTTCTATTTCCTTATTTCCAATCCTTTTCATAATCTTCCTGGAGTAGTTCCTCTCCTTAACGATAAGATTCAAGTAGACTCTCACACTTGCATGTGGGCGTAATAGAACACTAAACAATTGCTTACCAGTCCAAAGCTCTATTGGCTGCATCACAACAATTGAATTCAATAAAAAATAGAAAAGCATAAAGCAAAAGTACTACACAAGGGTATCAGCATTTACCTTAAGTAATGCTGGAGTCGGCAAATCTATAAGATCCATGCCATCACCCATATAGGAGCATATAAGAGAAAAAGCTGCACGGTCATAGAAAGTATCCTTCCTTGTAATGAGAAAGGAAGATGTTAAAAAATCTTGAGTGGAAGCAACCAAAATTTCTCCATTTTTTGGCGTGCATAAATTATTTTGCACCTGGAAACACAAACAACAATTCATAAGAAATTTTCAGATTTATCTAAATTTTCAGGAAAAGGTGTTCAGTAGCAGTTCATATGTTCATTTCTGAACACGTTTCCTATCACACCATTATCTTTACTGCGATATTATGGTTCATCAGTGGAAAAACATTTTAAAGACCAGAAATACATATCAATTTGAAGCAAGCTGAATGGGAATTAAAAAAACTAAACACATATGATATCCACGGGCACAATTCCTAAGATAGTATGATATAAAAGAATTTACCCCCATCAACATGAGTGCCTCTGTTCGAGCCTCTTCTGTTTGCGGGACATGCATGTTCATTTCATCACCATCAAAATCAGCATTATATGGGTTACAAACAGACTCATTGAATCGCAATGTTCTCCACGGCATGATTCTCGCCTGCATTCATGGCATGAGGAATATAATGAACCAACAACTTGGAGAAAGAACAGAATAACTACATGCTGCAATTTAGTACATCCACAACTAATAATCACCCTATGGCACATGATAGACATTCTATGCAAGCTTGGCTGTCTATTGAAAAGAACAATATCTCCATCTTCTAAATGGCGATCAACTACACAACCGAATTTTAGTTCATCAGCAAGACGCTTTCTGTAATCACCTATCAAGAGCCTGCGGCATTAAATTTAAGCCCACATCATTAGCAAATGAAGCAATTATCAATATTAATATTATGACAAACGTTATAAGATGCAAGAGTGATGAACCTCGCTGAACCATCAGGATATCTGACCATCCTTGCACCAGGGTATTTCGAAGGGCCATTACGAACACACTGCCTTAGCTTCTCTATATTGTGACTGGAAACACGTTCTGGATAAGTCAAAATCCGAGCCATATGGATTGGGATAGCCACCTGAACCATTAATTCCTTCAGAGGACAAATAGACCAAGATTTCAAAATCCTAAAACTGCTCAAACATTACTAGGACACCCAACCTCAGTAATTTTCAGATTGGGGTCAGGTGATATAACAGTCCGGCCAGTATATTCAACACGTTTGCCAGATAGGTTACCACGAAAGCGTCCATGCTTCCCTTTGATGCGCTGAACAAAACCACTCAGCGGCTTTGACACTTGCATACTAAATGGAACACCACGAACATCACTATTAATGTACTGTGCAACTTCAACTTGAAGCATCTCCCAGCCACCCTAAAGAAAAATATTCAGCATAAGACATCACATGTGATATTCCCGGAGAAGAAAAAAATATCTAAATTAATAACATTTCTCAGCACTCAACAATTTACTAACTAGCCTTCAGCATTCCTACTATAACAAAACACCTGCAACCATACTTGTTCTAGTCCTACTTAGCCTCTTTAATATTTAGCCTTTAAAGTATCTCTCCAGGCTTTAATTCATCTAAAGGATAAGGAAAGGCAATAAGACAAAACCAAATATGATTACAATAATAGCATTCAACCAGTTAACAAAGAGACGTTTCAATGGTTAAAGCTCGGGGCTTCCCACTAGAAGGTCTGATGGGAGGTGGCTATGACTCCCTCTTGTTGTGTACAGCAAGGCCCAATGGGACTCCATAAATACAAACAATAATGATAACAGATTCTACATTGACCTAAATTCCTGCAGGTACCTATTAGGTATCAGAATCCATTTCCATACCAGACATTTGAATGCAGCATTTGTTTCTACTAGTTCCTGACGAAGGCTAGCATTTGCCTGAATAATTCGTTTCAACCTCTCAGTAATGTCATTTTCATTGCTGCAACATGGAAAGAGGAAAATTGTAAAAATAATTTATACTTTTATCACCTATCATTGCAGCTACTACCAGAGACAAACATAATGTGTGGCAAACAAAAAGGGAACCTCTGTGACCCATCCATAATGACCGAAGGTCGGATAGGTATAGGTGGCACAGCAATATTTGTAATGATGAGCTTCTCAGGCCTATCAGAAAGATATAGCAATTCGCAATCCTGTGAACAATGAAATGCAGAATATCTCGTGTTAAAACAAAGTCAAGAAGTGCAAAAATTTTATAAAAGATCAAAACAAGAAACATTTCTTTGTTTTCTATTTAAAATGCATGCTCCAATATTGGTTTCCAATACATGAAACATGTGATAAAATTTTGCAAGCCAAAAGAGCAGAGGGTTATACCAAATCAGTCATCCTTTTAAAAAGAGAAAGCACTTTGACAGGGTTTAGAACATAAGTAGCAACGTTGAAGGACGCCTTGGACTCCTTTGTGTGTGAAATTGCTGATCTAAATTCTTCCAAACTGTTGTCATTAATTTTTGAACGATCATGAATAATGCCCAACATCGCCACAGCCTTCTTCACCGTACCTACAACCGTCAAACAGAAAAGTAGTTCGTACCTGGTTCATTTCATACAATCATAATAGCCTAACAAATCCAATATAGCAATTACCACAACCAGCTTGGATTCTTACATCAATGAAAAAGATCTAGCCATTTTAAAATAAAACAACCTCAAGAAAACCCTATATAGCAATTACCATAACCAAAGATGAGGTTCATTTCACTTTTAAAGATGATAAATACATCACGTCAGACAATTATATTTATGTTAAAGGTAAATATAGAATCCAAACCATTTACATATCCACATCTCCAGCACTTCACAGCTTTACTACTTGCCATAGCACTACACTTCTTCACGATACTTTTCATTATATCACCCTTCTTTAATGCATCGATCTTCGGACTTCTCATCCTCTTCAGATAATCTTTGCATAATTTCTCATCCAAAAGTATACGAGAACAAGACTGTACACAAAATTTCGCAAGCAATAATAATCAACACCGCGCTTCAATTAAATAAAATCACAATTCAAAAATTTGGGTCACATTTTTATTACCTTACAGATGCACTTTAAAATGTCTAAAATTGTACTTAAATATCCAACATTATAAACAGGAAGGGCAAGAGATAAGTATCCGTAATGCCCTGGACAATCCGCAAAATTTCCATCGCAGGTTGAACATTTCCCGCTTTTATTTGCAGGACCCTAAAAAACCCATAATGGAAAAAAAAAGTAAATTAAAACTAGAAAAATAAAATAAAATTACTCAAAAAAAGAACAAATAAATACACAGTGGAAAAAATAAAATTACGCAAAAAAAAAAACATGTAAATACACAACGGAAGTAAGTTTTAAGTACCATTCGGGGATCCAATAAGCCGCCTTCGATGGGGCGGCTTTTAGGATCATAGTAAAGAGCTTGATAAACTTGAACTTCGGCAGCTTTGGATATCTCCGAATCTGATAACATAGAGAATTGAATGCTTTGTCTGCATACATAACAATTAAAAACAACATTAATAATTTTAATGGAAAATTAAAAAATCCAAAACCGAAAACTGAACGAAATACAATTAAAAAAGAGAGCGCGGGTGTCACATTTTTCGTGGCCCAACATCTTCGATGTACGGCCGCTTCGTAAACACTATATCCTGTGATTTTTGCTGCATGTTCGATCAAAAACGAAGAATTTTGAGGGGAAAAAAAATGGGAAAAGAAACGGAGAAACGAAGGGGTTTAGGGGCCTGGAAGGTGAGGGTTTTAGCCTAAGTTTCTGGGCAGAATGAAATACTAAATGAACTTGGGAGCTCTTCTTTGTAACTGTTTCAGTGAAATTTGGGCTGGGCTAGCTCTGGTCGGGTCGGGTCGAGAAATATAATATATAAAAAGAATCCAAAAGCAGTGCCTCGAAACTTTTGACGTACAAATTATGGGCTTTACTTTTTCTCAGACAAATGGAAGCTCGACCTTAGCACAGAAGGCTTGGGCCACTTTGGGGCCCTGGTGAATCCGCCCAATGTTTTCTCTACTAAAGGAAAAATAATTTTTTTGGCCGAAAAGATTAATGACAAGAATATATAATATATATTTTAATTATTTATTTATTCTACACATAATTTAAGGATACAATATGAAATAATTTTCTTTTATGTCAAATTTTATGCCTCTTCTATTAAAATTTAAAGTCAAAACATCTTAAATTCTTGACATAATATCCTCGATAATGAAATAATAATGAATATATTGATTCTTATAAAAAATTTTCATACTTTTTTTTTAGAAATGAGTATATTATTGCAAGGTTTTCAAAGCATATCAATATTTATAAAAAAAAAAAAAGAGGACATTCCAATGATTAATTATGAATTTAACTTGATAGTCTTATATTTGAAAATAGCAAATTGAGAGAGTTAAGGCATTGAAAAAATGTATAATAACTCTTTTTTTTTATTATATTCAATTAAGTTTTTATATTTTTATTTTTAATTAAATAGATCCTTATAACTATTGTTTATTAATTGTTATCAATCAAAATATCATTTATCATTTTATATCAAGTGATATTGATGTGATATATTAACATGTGAACAATGATGTAACATGGCAATATAATCATTCGATATTTTTATTATACACATAAGCATCATGTGATATAAAAATGATAAGTAATATTTTAAAATAATGATAATTAATTTATTATTAATTATAAAGGATTATTAGATTAAAAATAAAAATAAGACTTAATTTAATTCAATAAAAAAATAACTTATATAAATTTTTCATAAATAGTTTAAGAGATTTTTAAAACATCATAACATTAAAAAAAAATCTATCTTGCATTATGTAATATATGTTTAAAAACTTTTCTATTTACCCAAACTAAAAAAATTACATAATCAAGTTTTATCAAAAATATTATGTTTTTTGGAAAATAAAATGTTTCATGAAATAATCATTTTTTAATTCAAAAATAAAACAAAATAAAATTAAAATGGTAAGAAAAGTAGGTACAATTTAAGTAAAATTAATGACGGGGTAACACCAAATGAAACAGTAAAAAATGAAAAAAAGTTTTAAAAAAAAAACTTGCATAAAACTGAATATATAACAATCAAAAAAAATCTTGATGAAATCGATGATCATGGCTGATAATTTTCAAATATAAATATATGTATATATATATATATAAATATGTACTTGTTTGTTTACAAAAATTCCAATTTCCTTAAAAAATACCTCATTTACAAATACTAGGTTTTTTTTCCTGTCTCTCACAGAAAAACACTATTAACAAGGAGCTGGAACAAAGACAATTACAATCAAGATGAAAGAAACTGCATGCTCATCTTCGATGAACAAACCCAGCCGATGCAGTGAATTCACAGAGCTCCTCCATGTGCTCCAGTCACCTTTTCAGATCCATTTCTGCTACCATGCCAGTTATTATAAATAGGGAATCCAATCAGCATCTCGAACTCCTTTTCAATCTCCACATTCAGTTCAATCCCAGCTGTTTTCTCCATCTGTTGCAATGCATTTCGAGCAGCTTCTCTTTCTCTTTCCCGTTGCTTTTTCATCTCGACCTCCGCCTTCATTTTTGCTGCAGCTTCAGCAGCTCTGATTTCAGCTTCAATCT